CTAGTTGGGTGGGGGAAGGATGGGTGATAAAATAAAAAAAAATAGAATGTAAAGAACACTGGAAAATATTCTTACCAAGAAAAAAAAAAAATTCAGGCTTCTAGATGAGCTGGTCTTGAGTGCCCCAAGTTGAAAGCTCAGAGTTAACAGGATCCCTTATCTTGTTCCTCTTCCCTTGGTCTGACCCTCTCTGTGCCACCACCAGATTAAAATAAAATCTATTAATATGAGTGTTGTCAAGTATGTGCAAAAGTGGAGAGAATAGTATAATATGTACTTGCATATACATCACTCAGATTCAGTAGGTATCAAGATTTTCCCAGTTTGATCTGTTTCTTCCCCTGCTATCTCTGTTCCCCTCCCCTTTTATACCCCATGTTTTTAGAGGACTCCTGAGACTCTCCTGAGAATGGTGCTGTGCTCAGTGCTTGTCATTTGTTTACAGCTCCCTGGTGGCATCTTAGATCTAGCCTCCTATCCTTTCCTTTAACATGCTAAGGTAGTGGACTGGATTTACCGAGCTTCCCAGAATTGCCAGTAAGTTACTTGTGCCAGGGTGTAGCCCAGGCACCGCTCGGTGGCAATGCTTGGGAACTACACTTTCACCAGCAGCTGGGGGTCAGGAGAAAGTGGGCAGTCACCCCTGCTCAGGGAATGCAGAAGTTGGTCAGCTCATTGTTTTTCTTCCTCTTCCCCCCTCCTTTTCTTCTTTAAGGCGGCTTCTTTGCATGGGAAGATGGTGAGTTGGCAATTCTCTTAGGCCAAGCAGAGCTCTTGTGCAATTTAGTGGCATATAATAGGAATAATATTCCTGCTGTCACGGCATAACGTTCTGGGTATTATTAAGGGTTTCTGACAACCTTGCCCAGACCAGATTTTATCAGAGGAAGATCTCCCTGTCTGAATGGATAGCTTTCCTATCTTAAACTTTTCTCCACAACTTCCTAACAGCCTCAAGGAGACTTAGATCCATTTGCCCTTCTAACTACCTGGTAGGTCCCTGCCTGTTGAAAGGATGCATTCCCTGTTCTTTCTGGCTAGGACCTTTCTGCATGCATCCTTTTCTGTGATACCAAGAAAGGACATTACTTTCTCACCCCGCCTCCATTTCCCACGTTTCATGGGTTCTGAACTCTTTAGTTCATCTCTGTTTCTGCCCTTGCCTGAACCTCTATTACCTTCCACCAGGCAACAATGTGCTTGATTTTTTCTTGCTTTCTGCTACAGAATATCCTTTCTGGACTGTGGTTGGTAACTATTTTCAACTTCAGGAGAGAGATTGTTTTCATTTCTGGCCAGTGTTTGGGGCTCTGCGTTTATAAGTGAATGTACACATAGTTGCTATGCATGACTGCGGTATTCACTGCTTCAGTTCTGTTGCCTTCTGAACAAATATGGTGTTTGACCATTTCATTGTTTCTGTTCTTCAGCCAGTACATTTAATGCTGTCTGTTCCCCACTCCCAGTCACAGCCCAGTTGCTGGATGTTGTTTACAAAGCAATGGACTCAGGAAAGTAGGGACCCATCCTGCATAAATGTTGAACAAACAAGTGAAACCCAGAGAGTAAGAGCAATTGGCTGAAGGGCTTCAGGTACTGAAAAATAAGACTTTGAATGGTGAACAGCACAAATCAAATCAGGAAGGCTTTGAATACTGTGTAAACAAAAGTACTGAATCCTATAAGCAACAGGGAACCGTTTAATTTATATGTTTTATAGAGGTATATTTTGTTTACATACAAAAAAGTACACAAGTGTTAAATACATAGCTTGATGAGGCTTTGTTATTATCTTATAGATGCTAAAGGTTAGAGAAGTAAATTAATTTATCTCAGGTTGCACAGCTAGAAAGTAGCAGAGCTGGATAATCCTGAATTTAATTCTGTCACCAGAGACTGATTTCTTGCTGGTGATCTGCCTTAGGTATGTGGGACCCAAGTTTAAGTAACAGAATGTTATGTCTTTATGGTGGGAGGTGATGGATATGTTTGTTACCTGCCCACAGTGAATGCCCTTTTGTTCTGACCTGTGGCTCATTGGATTTATGAGGGGAAAGGAGTCTGTGATTCTGGGACAGGCCCTGGAGTGATATTCCTTAAGATGGATCTTTATGAAGGAGAAAATGCTTTCAATGAGAATGGCTCTTTAAAGTCTACATGCAGCAGGAAGATGGTGGTCTCTATGGACAAATTTTGAAAACAGGATACAACAAAGGTGAACTGTGGACCTAAATATTTAGGAGTCCCAACAATTTCATTTGCCTTAAAGATTAATATGAGTGGAATAAACACATGTCAGTGTTAGCAAAATGACCAAATTCTTAAAACATACAGATTGTGTTTCAAGAGCTAACATGTCCAAAGAAAATGGGAAACTTCCACAGCCATTAAAAGGAAAAACAGTGGGCCTCAAAGTTGCTTAAACCACCAATGTACCGTATGTGTTAATGTTTTTTTTTTCTCTCCCAAATCAATAAGGCTTTTATTGCATTTTTAAAACACCACAAATAAGTCCAAGGAATCATCTGGCATCTTGCTGTTTCTATAGATGCACAACTTAGATTTTATTCATCAGCCTGCTGAACTATTCCTTTTTCAGAAACATAGGCACCATCCAAAAATTATTTGATATCCTTATTTTTAACTGTTGTGACTTGCTGAATCAAAGCAGCTGAATTTGATACAAGTTCAATGTCATTTCCTTTGAGAAACAACATCCTTCTGGGCTTGAGAGACTGAACTGGCAAAACTTGGCCTCATCTGAACACTGTAGATGCATTTTTCACCCAAGAAATTTCAGATTTGAACAAGAGAACCATTCTCCAGAGTAATGATGTTGATGGGGGAAGTGAGCAAACAGGGACCTCATCTTGTAACGGAAGCCCAGTGTAACACCCTTGATCACATTCTCTTCATGACTGTAGATAGTGCAAATGGCAGCCAGTTCCTTTCTGTTTCCATTCCATTTGTCAACCTGGAGCCTCATCTTTTTCTATCCAAGGAGACATTGATGTGATTGAAGGCCCTCTGCGGGCGGGCTTCCTCTGGGGCACTTCACAACAACTGTGCATCCTTTCAGAGTGATGTTGACATTTTCTGGAATGTTGATAGTCTGGTTGCGAAGAATGGTCTTCCTTCTCTCAGTTAAAGCAGCAAAGAGTATACATGTTAATCTTTTAATTCCATTTCACAGTGCATTAGATACAATGCAAAAAACCTCCACATTGAAAGAATTCTAGTTGGCACGTATGACTCGGACATTTGAAAAAATACATTTAATATTTGTCCACTGAACCCACTTTTCAGACAAAGTGGGAGGGACAGTATGACACATTTTAGTGCATTTAGGCATAAATTGGGAATAGTTAATGAAATTCAGGTTTTAAAAAATGAAAGCATGGCAGGAAGTATCAGATTGCTGTAGAGAAATATGTTTCAGAAAACTGATCTTAAAAAGAAATAAATGGCATGCCTTATCCATGCATGCTCGGCGAGACATGTGTATGATTTAGAGTGTGGCTGTTGGGTTGTCCCTGTGCTTGGATATTGTTGCCGCTGTATGTACTTTTTGAAGAGGTGTGGGTACCCATAAGTTCAGGATTATTTGGAGGTGGGGTGGTAATAGAGATGCTTCCTACTCAAAGCTATTTCAGTTGGTATTTTTTTTTCCTGCAGACTTTGTTTAATAAATCATATGTTTGAAATCATCAAAGGGGAAATAGGATTGTGGATACTGAACTTTGTGATTAAAGTTAATTCTAAGATAGAAATAAAATGTGGGAAGTGTCCTTCAAAAGTAAAATAGATATGTATGGTCATGATGGCAAGCAGAACACTATAATTCCCCCACCCAAAGAAAAACAAATGCATGGTTTTCTTCCCCCCTTCCCCCCAAGGTTTTTTTTTACTGTCCTGTTCAGAGTGCCTACTTCTGAGTGGCTTTCTGGTATTTGCATAGGCCACCACACCAGGGATTGTTACTGAAGAGTGCTGTGTCCCTAGAGCCAGCAGGTCCAGCTGCCAGGACAGCTTGCCTGAAGAATGGCTGGACACCTTTGGGGCTGATTGCTAGCATTAAGCTGCTTTCCTCCAAGTCATGTCCTCAGATTTTGTAATGAGCCAGTGGGAGAATAGCCTTTGAAGAAGTCAGTCAAGAGGGAGAGCAAAGGAGATACTCAGGACAAAGAAGGATGATGTCAGTGTCCTGTCTGTAAGTTAGTGCCTGTCTGTAAGGGAGAAATGAGTTCTCACTGAGTGAGATTCTTGTTGCTGCCTTTGTTTCTTTTTAAAACCTTTAACATTGTGAAATACAGCATGCACAAACATTGAACATTCTTTCCTTCTTACTCTGCTACCTTAACTGTCCTTTCTTCTGGTGATAATTTCAGAAGATGACAATTGGGAGGTATTGTTAACAGAAAAAGAAATAGATGTTAAGTTAAAGAACCAACAAAAACATCGGTGAAAGAATAAGTTTGAGATCTGTACAAATGAAAAAAAATTCCGAAATCTTGTTTCCTTATGATATTACACAAGGCAGCTGAAAGGTGTCAGAAAGGTGGGGAGAAAAGATGGGCATGAAATCTTCCAGGCCTCTCTCTCTTGTCCTCATGTTTCAAATGAATTTGTTTTTAGGACTGATGTTTGCCACTGGGTTGCAAGTAGCATGAATTGTAATTCTGTTTTTCTAGTTTTTCTACAAGTTGAAATCTAGATTCTTAGACATATATGAGTCAATTATTAAAAAAAAAACCCTCAGGAGATCTTTTACAACCGTCTTGGGTATTTCAGATACGAAGTTTAGAGATACTTAGTACCTTTTCTTCCTCTTGGGACCTGCTCTGTATAGCCTTAGTTTAATGGGGAATTTGACATAGTAAAATAAACCTTAATACAATGAAAATATTTTAGCTGTGGGTTATTGGAACTTGATAAAGTTACACTGGTACTTGTGTAGGCAAATAAACATAAATTTAAAAATAAGGTTGTTTTTCTTGCAGTCCTATTTTGTAACGGATTATGATCCAACCATTGAGGATTCCTACACAAAGCAGTGCGTGATAGATGACAGAGCAGCCCGGCTAGATAGTAAGTAATCTTACTTTATTTGATAGTTTGCATATCATATTTTTAAAGTTTTGATGTTTTCCTAGGTTAAATACTACAATTGAAATATTATATGATCTTGCATATAAGCCCATGTCTTTCATTAGTTTTGATTGATGAATCTTCATGTTAGACAATTTAAATATTCCTCAGTAAATGTAATGTAAAACAGTAATTGCATTGACCTTATTCTAGTGAAACTAACCATGTCATTGTAACTTGTTGAAGTAGTGTTTATTTGGACATTTGGAAGAAAAGGAGGTTTCAACCCTTTCTCCTGATTGCCAAAGGTTAAAATGGGTGAAGTAAATAGAGAAAAGCTTCAATATTTGTTAACTTGCTTAGAATTTATAGCACAGAGGCTTTAGAAAGTAGTATTTTGGGCTTGGCTAAACATTCACCACTCCACAAAAGAAGGCCCTAACTTGTATGATTCTTTTTTTCATGGGCATTAAGAAGTACATTATTAGCACCTGCACTTTACAGATGGTGTTTGGGGGCTAGACCGAAGTTTGTTTCTTGAATTTACAGGTATCTTTTTCAATACTTTCTGTGGAGGAGATAAAATATCAAAGTGACTTCAGAGATTATCTGACTCCATCTACCTAGATGTATTTGATATTTTTAACCTTTCAATTGGTATGCTAATATATTCTAACTACAAATCATCCTGCACTGATGAAGATAATTCTGAAACTGTCATTAGGATGCATTTGTCTTTAGTATTGAGTATAAAGTACTAAGAGGAGAATGCCACTTGGTTAATACTGAGTATGATGAGCTCTGAAGGGCCCACATTAGTTGGGCCTGCCCTTGTGGGGAAACCGTTTGTAAAATGAAAACCCAGCAACAGTTACATTTGTTTTTTCTCTAGTTCTGGACACTGCAGGACAAGAAGAGTTTGGAGCCATGAGAGAGCAGTATATGCGAACCGGCGAAGGTTTCCTATTGGTCTTTTCCGTCACAGATAGAGGCAGGTTTGTACCCAGGTTAAAATGTACATCTACTATTCATGTCTAAACCACTATCTTAACTGAGTTTGTACTTTCTTGTTCTTATAGAAAAAGGAAGAGTTCTAAATGGGGCATGGGGCTTGCTGGATTCTGGTATTTGACCAAATTGATTAATTTGTTCTTGTGCTTTTAGTTTTGAAGAAATCTATAAGTTTCAAAGACAGATTCTCAGAGTAAAGGATCGTGATGAGTTTCCAATGATTTTAATTGGTAATAAAGCAGATCTGGATCATCAAAGACAGGTGAGAAGGAATTTTGCTGTTGGGAAACCAACTATTGATAATCATATATGTGAACAAATGTATTTAATGAAACAATTTAAAGTGCCCTGATCAAAAAACTGCTGAGTTTGGCACACTGGATTTCACAGAAGTCACAATAGGTGAGAAATAAAAGGAAGTAGATTTGGGGAAATTAAATTTTCACACAATTATACACAGAACTTCAGTGAGCCTGCTAGTATTTGTGCCAGCTCCATTCACAGTACAATTTCTTGAGTAACAGCCAATACTTTAATTTAATTAGATAGCATTAAAGTTATCTGTAAAGTCCTAATTTATTCAATTATCAGTAAATTGCCTTTATTTAGAGAATGGCTTTTATTTAAATTATAATATTTGGATTTTTCCTAAGTTCCATTGATGCCTAAATTTTCTATTAATTCATATTGGCTAGCTCTAACACCAGGAACCTGCAAGAAAATAATATTTTTAGTGTTAGGTTACCCACTTATTCCACAATTAATTCAAAAAAATTTTTGGTATATATTATCCACTCATCTTTTTGGAGGGAGGATAAATAAAGTCAGATGTAAATTAATGCAGGCTCTACATTATTTGGGGGTTCTTTTTGTGTATTTCCTTTAAGTCTTTAGCCTCTATTCCACATCTTGGAGTATAGATGTTTAAATTGTTAACTTTTGCTGGGTATTTAAGTTCTCTTTTGTTTTTATATAGCCCAGTGTTAACAGATTCTCATTTGAAAAGTGCAAACATCAGGAAAAATTGGTTGATAAAAATTGAGGATAGCCTTCCATTTTATAGTTGATAACTATTTAAAATGTAATTTTTGATTTGTGTGCTTTGTTTGTAAAACTTTGTTGAAGGTCTACCAGGTTCAAAGCATGGACTTAAGAGAATGATATCATTGTTCAAATGCTAAGATTTAGCAACGTTTACTGATGATACTTGATGTAGGATAAGTTTTACTACTAGGTCTCTTTGAAATCTGAATTATTATAAAGTTAATGCAAAAAATTTGATTTTCATTAGAAACCAATATAAGCTGTTTGAAATAATCTAGAATATGGTATTGCTTGCATCTTAAACCTAGAGTAGATAGTTCTCCCATATTTTAATTTACTTTTTAATTTTTAGGGCCATTTCCTTTTATTAACTGTTGCCCCGTAGAGCCATTTCTATTGTTGTTCTCAGTCCTTTCTAGTAGTAGAAGAACTTTTACGTGCCACTGGATCTGGGAAAGAATGGCAGAGTAGCTCTGCAGTGAAAAGGGGTTCTCCTCCCTATCTCATGCTAACTTCTACTCCACCTGCACATGCCTTCTGCCCTCATTGTAGAAGCAGGTTTTTCTCAGACCTCGTCATGGTGGTAGCTCCCGTAAAGGAACAGGTGGGAGTCCTGGGGTGGGTGGAGGTCTCCTGTAGGGTAGGTGGTGGCAGATTAGGGAGCATAGGGAAGCATATGCCCAGCACAACTGAACCAGGCGCTGCCACGATTAGCTTGGGGCAAAGGAGTCTGTATGGGTTATTTTTAAGTTGTCTGTATATTTGGTGTGTGGTTTCCATCTGTCTGTAGATATTCAACATACTTGTAGCACCTTGGCTTTGTTTTATAGCACAGGCTTACACAATTTTTCATCTAAGTTTTTTTTCTTTTTATAAAAGTATTAGATTCACAGAGTAAAAACTAAGGTGGTAAGGGAATAACAAATTTCATATTTCTATTATGTTCAAGATAAGCAGCTTGGAGTTAAGATACTCTGTATAGTTCTGTTTTAAACCATGTTGATAGACATAAAACTATGTATATGCTGAAAAGCTCAGATTATATATGTCCAAGGAAGAAAAGCAAGTGGCTGAAACCTGTTGCCTAGTTTTCTGCTCTCTCCTGTACATTCTAGCCTCTGAAGGATAGAGAGAAAGAGAAATGTGTTCCTTCTTGTGCTTCATCTTCTCTTTTCCAGATTCCTTCACACCTGTACTCAGGCATGTCAGCTGCTGTCCCTTTAAAGCCGTGAACACTACCCATATGTAAGCCTTTCATGCTGACTGGAAATCCTGCTCCATTTCCCTAGTCCACCGTCTCTCACTTGTTTGGATGATTATTATTCACAGCACATCCTTCCTCCTCCTCACTCTCAGCTGATGGGAGTGATATTTTCCTACCTCACTGAGGAACTTCTACAGCATTCCCTCTCTAACATGTCCTAACCCAAGTGCACATGTTCTGTCTTCCCCACTTACATGGACTATTCACCTCTCTGCCAGCCTGTCCGGCAGGCTCTAGGTCCCTCCTGTCCCCTTTCCCCAGCTTCTGGGCACCACCCCAGCAGTGGGCCCATTCTGTTTCTCTCCCTCACGGTCGTTCCCGTCAGCAGATGTCATGCTACAGCGGCTCTCATCCTTGAGACCAGAAGTCGCTACAGTAAAAATTTGTTCCGAATGTCACGTTTCTTTGCGTACCTTTTTGCTGCTCCCTTGTTAAACAAAACCCCTTAAAGGCGGTATCTACACTTGTTCTGTCCACCTTCTTTCGTGCTAGTCTTGCTTGAACTGACTGCAGGCCTGCAGTGCCCCCATCAAGGTCACCGTTTGTGCTGCTATCAGTAACATTTGACACAGTTGCTCACACTCTCCTTTTTGAAACACTTTGTTTACTTAGCTCTGGGACATCATTCTTTAGGCCTCCTCCCGCCTCCCTTTGTTGGTTTTTCCTTCTCTCTCTCAGGTGTCTCAGGACTTGTGTACACAGTCTTCAAAGCTCCGGATGTACAAAGACAACCATGTCTGACCTCCTCACCTATGGGGCCTGACTCAGTGCATTTGAAATTGGATGCTTTCCTACAGGTTTCTACCTTTTTAAAGTCACTTGAGAATTAAAGGTGCTGTTCTATAATATCTTGGCACCCTTAACTTGCTCTATCAGCTGAACCTGGAAGGCTACCAGGACCCCATAAAACTCCTTCACCCATTAAGAGATGTTTAGTTTTTGGTCATCCCTTTAGGTTCTTAGTCGGTAAACAGTCTGGCTTGCTGGTAGTTGTTGACCCCGCTCATTCTCTTCTGCCTTTGTCTTAGACACGATACTTTGGACTCTAGTTTCTTGCCTGTTTTCTCTTACATGGCAAATGTCAGTTCCCCATGTACTTTGAATTTGTGAGTCAGCTTTGGGCATTACTACTACTGATTCTGGAGATTCTGAACCCATTAGGGAGGGCTCAGCCAGAAGAGGTTTGCCTGCTTCCTTCTGCTTCTCTATGTCTGTGTACTTGCTTCTTCTAGCCTGTCTGCCTCCCTCCCTCCCTCCCTCCCATATTTACTGAACAGTTGTTCAAGGGACTAATGACAGAACAGTAGAAGAAAAAACAAAGTCACTGAAGTTCACATTAAATAAAAAGAGATCCGTAGAATGTGAATGGTTATTTAGCATTACCATATCCCTGGTCCCTTAGAGATACATTGATTATCATCTTTATCCTGTTGAAGATGTAGGAAAAAAACATAGGTAAATTATTTGCTTGCCCTTGCCAAAATGTAAAAGTCAATAGATATGAGAGCATATTGATTGTGAAATTTTAAAAAAAAGGCAGTGTGTGGGCTTGGACTGTGGACTCCATGGTGTCTCTTATTTCAAGTTCCTTGTCCTTGACTCAGCCCTGTCTAGAAATCAACTATTTTTGCTTTTTTGTTTTACCCTCCTTTTCCTCCCTTGGCTTGCCTTTACTTCAGCCTCCCTGCCTTTCCCCTTGCCCCGTAGGTGCTTAATTGTAGTGCCCACTGTTATTTTGAGAAACGAGCCCATTACATTTATAATAATAAACACTTAAGCGTACCAACTTCTGCTCCTTCTGTCTGTCAGTACCTTGACCATGACATGCCCCTGCAGCCTGACAGGAAAAAACAATCTCCCTCCCCTCAGCAAGGAAGTAACGGCCACCTTCTAGCCTTACCTGTTCGTGCTTTGTCTGTGTCTAAAAGATCTGTAGACTGCTGAGTATTAAGTACCACAAGGGCTTCTCAGTTTTGATTGGTTAGTTTGTTCATGCTTTATCCTCATCACATAGAACACAGACAGGCACTCAAATACTTGCTGATGAATGAATCAGGGCCTCAGCAAATCAAATTGTGATATTAATTTGATGGCTATTTCTACATAGTAGATATTTTCGAAAAACAAATAGACTTTTGTAAAGTTAGCTTACTCGTTAACTTGATATGCCCCTGAGTGAGTGTTGCAAATGATGTGGTCTGTTTCTTTTTTCCCCTGTTTTATTTATTTATTTTTATTAAGGCATCATTGATACACAATCCTAGGAAGTTTTCACATGAGCAACGTTGTGGTTACTACATTCACCCATATTATCAAGTCCCCCTCCCTGCCTCCCCGCCCAACCCCATTACAGTCATTGTCCCTCAGCGTAGTAACATGCTATAGAGTCACTACTTGTCTTCTCTGTGCTACACTGCCTTCCCTGTGTGGTCTATTCCTTTTAAACTCAGTTTGTTTAATAAAATTGCTCTCATCATTCCCATTTTGCTCTTCTCTGTAAATATATAGTACTAGGTAAGTATATATTATTGTGGATTTCTATTGTGCTAATATTTGTTCTTTGATCTGAGTCTCACTGGAGGTTTCCAGACATAGATTGGTGAATTTGTCACATCATATTCACCTTGGTTATTTAAAACAAGACATTTCTGAGTAGCACTCAGACCTACCAAATCAGAATATCTAGGAGGCAAGGCTTAGTATTTCGGAGTTTTTGTAAAATTCTCTTGGTTAGGAAACCTCTAAGGAAATCCTTTGTGCAGCTTTCAGTCTTTTATTTCTTGCTTTACACTGCTGTGGCCTTGTTCCATGTGGGTTTTTCTTGTTAATTTTTGTTTGCTTTAATGGTGGTAATGCTATTTCTATTTCTTAGTTAAAATTATGCTACACCAGTGAGCTCAAAAGCAGCTTTATATGTGGGTAGAGATTTCTTGGTCAGAAATGTGTGTATGAACTTTGCTGACTTTGATGCCTGAAAGACAGTGCGTGATGTGAGACCATGCTTTAAAATACCTAAATGGAGTACATAAACCATCTTAGCATTAGGATCATTTTATCATGTAGACAATTCATTTTTCTTGCTATATATAATGTAAGTCATTTGACGATTCCCTCTTGTTGAATTACATTATGCAGGAGTGGTAGGGCAAGGTATGTTTTTGAAGAATAATTGAGCAGAAAGACACAGCAAAATTCTCAAGGACTCCTTCCCCAAATCAAATTTATGTTAATAAAGTGATTTATTGAGATCTGTCTCAAATATTAATTTTCTTTTTCTATATCATCTTTTCTTTTACTTCAAAGGTGAACTGATTTCATTGGTCATACTCTTTTACTTAACATAGATTCATTCAGTTAATTACCATGCAGTCTTCTAGGTTCTGTGTGTGCAAAGAGAAACACACTTTACTGCCCAGCTACAGAGAACATCACGGTGGGAGAATGAGGAAACAGTCCAAAATTGTAGTGTGTTAAGAGTTTGTTACTTGTCACTATAGAGTGTGATGGGAGCTCGAGGATGCTACTCTGAAACAGCATCGGCACTAAGGGGAAGTTTTATTTGTTTGAGTCTTGAAGTATTAGTAAGAAACGAGAGTATAGAGTTGAGAGATAGAGGATGACATCCCAGAGAAGGAACAGAATTTGTGACAACATGGGGAGTATTTTTATAGGAAGGAATTTACCATGCCAAATATTCTTAAAAATAGGAATTGTCCTTTTCAAATTGATGGCTCTATGAAGCTTTCGTTTCACACTTGGCTTCCATAGTGTTAATTGCTTTGCTTGATTTGATTGATTTATATTTCAAAACCATAGGCCTTATGTTACATATGCTATTTTGAAGAAAAGGTAAACTTAAAAATTACAACTTGGATATACCAATGTTAGGTAGAACCTGCCTGCCACCGTTTTGGAACACAACAGGTATAAACTGTTATAAAGAATGTTAGATGTAAATTCATTAATATAATAGCCATTAATAAACAATGAGCCTGCATTGAGGTTACTGAATTTTGGGAATGGAATATTAATGGAAGAACAAACTACCTGAAAAGATTAAAGGGAACAACACCTTGAGCTCAAACAGGGCCAGGAATAATCCATATTCTAATCAGCCAGAGTGCAAAAACCTCATAATTCTTGGTGTATTGGGTAGTACAGAAGGACTTTTTTCCAGTAGTAAAACGAAATTAGTGCTGGACTAAGTGGTTTTGGTCCTAGATGACAAAAAGGATCAAACGTTCCAAATAACTGTATCCTAGAAGTAAGCTCAATAATATTTATAAGAATAGAAATTATCCAGAACCCAATAGGTAAAAACCCAGTACCTAAACATTCACTCAAAAATTACCAAGCATGTAAAGAACCAAAAAAAATATGGCCCATATTAAGGAGAAAAAAAATGAATAGAAACAGACCTAGAAATGATACAGATGATGGAATTAGTGAACAGAGATATTAAAACAGTTATTATAACTTCCTCCTATGTTTATAAGCTAGAGAAAAGACTGAATTGAATAATAAGTAGGGACATGAAAGATATAAAAAGATAAAAGTCTAATTTCCAGAAATTAAAACTACTGTGTCTGAGAAGAAAAATACACTGGATAGAATTAACAGCAGAAGTAATGGCTGAGTAATTTCTAAATTTGATGAAAACTAGGGAATGCGGAGATGAAGAGACCCCTTGCCTTTTGAGGGTTCGCTCTCCTCCATCCCCTCCTCTTGTCATTTTCTATCCTGGTTTGCTGTATTCCAGCCATTCTAGGCTTCTTTCAGTTCCTGGAACTTGGAAAGCCCATTCCTCCTCTGTGTCCTCACTCATATCATTTCCTTTGTTGGGAATACTTCCTCCTCCCATCCCTGCCTAACTCCATCCTCTCTTTATTAGTTCTTAGCTTAAGTATCACTTCCTCAAGAAAGCTTTCTCTGACCTGCCCGACTGGGTTAGAGACTCTCCTAAACCTTGTACTTTTTCTTCCCATAATTTATCACTGTTGTATTTAATACTTTTTCAGTAATCAGTGACTGGAATCTTGTAGTGTGGCATTATTTCTGTCATAAGTATGTTCTTTTCAGTTTTTCTGCAAAGCGGGGCTTCAGTATGTGTTGAGCTATTAAATCTCTTGGTTTGTCTTTAATAAATCAGCTTGGTTTCTAGCTGAATTAATAAATAGTGCAGTCTGTGGCCAAAGATTAGATGCAGCAGATCTGGTTTTTTTTTTTTTAATTGAAGTATATTGGTGTCAAGTATACAGCAGTTACCCATGTTCTTAAGTCATCATCACAACTAGTGCGGTTACTATATGTCAACACAGGAAGATGTTGAAGAATCATTGGCTATATTCTCCATGCTGTACTACCATCCCCATGACCGCCTTATATTATAATTGAGAATTTTTGTGCCCCTTTATCCCCTCACCCTCTCCACCCACCCACTTAAACCCCTCCCTCATGGTAAACACCAGTTCTTGGTGTCTATGAATCTATTGCTGTTTTGTTCCTTCTGTTTTGCTTTGTTTTTGTATTCCACAAATAAGTGAAATCATATGGTGTTTGTCTCTCTCCACCTAGCTTATTTCACTGAGCATAATGCCCTCTAGATCCATCCATGTTGTTGCAAATGGCAGGATTTCTTTTTTTTTTTAATAGCTGAATAATACTCCATTGTGTGTATGTTCCACATCCTTTTTATCTCTTCATCTACTGAAGGGCACTTTGGTTCCTTCCATATCTTGGCTACTGTAAATAACAAAACAGTAAACATAGGGGTGCATATATCTTTTTGAATCAGGGTTTTTCATTTTCCTCAGGTGAATTCCTAGTAGTGGAATTACTGGGTCATATGATATTTCTATTATTAGTTTTTTGAGGAGCCTGCATACCAGCAGACTTAATTTTTAATACCATACCTCAACTCTTGAAATTTCAGGTAACACAGGAGGAAGGACAGCAGTTAGCACGACAACTTAAGGTGACATACATGGAGGCGTCAGCAAAGATTAGGATGAATGTAGATCAAGCTTTCCATGAACTTGTCCGGGTCGTAAGGTAAGCAGAACACATCCTACTAGTTTGTTATAACTTACTGAATTTGATAGGTAATCACAGTGCACTTTTTGAAATCATAAAATGAGAAAAAAAATTACCATTAAATGTTTTTAGTAAGAAAGAGAAAATCATATGTAGAAGTGGGGTTGATGCATGAGGTGTGTTAAAATTTTAATTAAGTACATATTATAGTCTAGGTATTTCTTACATATAAAACCTAACTTAATTATAGAGAATACATATAGGGATTTTGAAAAGGATTTGTGGTAGTGGTGTGAAGATAGTGAAGAGAGCAGCTAGCATTTCAGTGGTAATCTCTGATATCCGATCTGTTAGATACTGTGCTAAATGCTTTATATGTAGTGTTACATTTATTCCTCACCATAGCCCAATAAGCTAAATACTTCATTTATCTCCAGTTTCAGATGAGGAAACAAGTCCAGAGAGGTTAAGTAACTTGTTCTAAGTTTAGACATATTAAACAGCAGAGCTGGGACTTGAGTCCGTATCTCTGATTCCAGAGCCTGTGCTCTCAGCTTTGCTTCTCTCCCACCCTCTCCCAGGCTGAGAGTAGCCAGGTGTAGAGATTGAGCAGTCCCATGGGTGTGAAGTGTGGTATCTCACACTGCAAAGAGTTTTTTTCCCAGCTGGCCTGGGAGGTCCTTGTGGTTCAGAAAGTGTTCCTGGGTTCCAGGAAGCTTGAGGTGATTTGGAAGCTTGGCTGGAGTGAGTTTGTATGTGAGACAGGTGGAGTTGCTTTTTGGTGTGTGGGGCTTGATGTGATTATTTTGAGTCTTAGTAGCTTGGCCCCTACTTCACCCTTTGCTTTCTAGATGACTGGTTTCTCTGCTAGTTTGTTTGACAGGTATGGGGAGGGGAGTAAGCTTACGTTAGTTGTATATCTAAGGTGAATTGACATCTGGGTTATGGGCTTGTACTTTTAGCCCCTTGCCCTAGGGCATTTCTCTTTGTGGGAGAAAACAAAAGTGTAGATCATAGTTTGTTTTTAGTAGTTTGTTAAAAAAATATAAGTTCCATTATTTCTTAATGAATACAGAGTTAAGGTTTTGCAAGGTGAAAAGAGTTCTGGAGATAATGGTGTTGCTGGTCACATGTTATGCGCATATTGATGCCACTGAACTGTACAGTTAAAAATGATTACGGTGGTAAATATTGTTATATATGTATTTTAACACACAACACACAGGCCTTCTTAAAATAATATTGCCTTTTTGAAATATTTTTGTCCTTGGTTTTGATCCTCAGATTCTATTCATATCCATTAATCAATCTGGAGTGAGGAGGGAGTAGAGGAGGCTTTATTTTTTTTAATTAAAGTATCATTAATACACAATCTTATGAAGGTTTCACATGAACAACATTGTGGCTTCAGCATTAACCCATATTATCAAGTCCTCACCCCCCCATTGCAGTCACTGTCTATCAGCATAATAAGATGTTACAGAGTCATTACTTGTCTTAGAGGAGGCTTTTTTTGTGCTGGACACTGTTAGTCATTTAAACGTAACAAGGTGGTCTTAATCTTCATAGTGACAGTGAAAGGTAGGATTATTATTCTCTTATAAAAACCCAGGCTGAGAGGAGTCAACTAACTTGTTTAATACTGACTGTAGCTAATAAGTGGTAGAACAGGGACTGGAACTGCACACCTCATAAGGGTATGTACTCTGGTGAGGGGTGTTTATTTTTTTTTAATTAAGATATCGCTGATACACAATCTTACAAAGGTCACATGAGCAACATTGTGGTTTCAGCATCACCCATATTATCAAGTCCCCCGCCACCCCACTGCAGTCACTGTCCATCAGTGTTGTCAGAGGCTGTAGAGTCACTACTTGTCTTCTCAGTGCTGTACTGCCTTCCCCGTGACCTACCTATATTGTATGTACTAATTATAATGCCCCTTAATCTCCTTCCCCCTTCCTCCCCACCTACCTTTGAGGTGTGTTTATTTTTACATGTACCTTCAAATTGGGAAGGGAATTTAGAGGTTATTGAGCTCACCATCTTATCTGATTCAAGATTTTCCCATTAATAAAACTCAGCTCTGTTTATGCTGGTGTTGAAACTTTTGTACATGCCCCCCCACCCCCACCCCAAGGATTTGCTTTGGTTCCCGAGTTGAAATTTAACATGGAAAAGGATGTGGATGTAAACTAGACTTATCCAAAAATAACCTGCATTTGTAATAATATATTTCCAAGACAGCAATTATATGTGGATTTTTCTATCTTACAGGAAATTTCAAGAGCAGGAATGTCCTCCTTCACCAGAGCCAACGAGGAAAGAAAAAGATAAGAAAGGCTGCCATTGTGTCATTTTCTAAGAATCCCTTGAGTTTTAGCTACCAACTGCCAGGAAAAGCCCTCCTCTTCTCCTTTTCTCCTTAACAGTTTACATCACGTTGGTACCTTTCTAGCCTTAGACAAATGATCACCATGGTAGCCTTAGACCAAGAAGCTGGCTCATCCATTCTGTGAAGCTAATCCTATGCTCATTTCAGGACAGATTTAAAGGAAACACTAAGGCTGCTTCAGAGATTATCTGATTCCTTGAAAATATGTATCTGTGTACAATATAAATTCTTTTTTAAGGGCTTATTACATTTTAATAGGGATGAATCAGTTTTGGAACCTAAGCTGTTTGCCAAGCTGAAGTCATTCATTGTGAAATAACTTTTAACTTCTGGAATCATGTTGCCTATTGTTACTCTAAATAGAAACATAGGACTTTTTTTAAAATGTGAATTTTTGCCTATCTCTGAAAATTTTGATGTCAACTTTAGTTAACCTTAAATACACTGAACTGAATCCACAAAAGTGAGATATCTCAGACTTTTACTGATGCTCTAGCCTTTGTTTTCCAGTGGCCAAAATACCAAAACCTTAAATACACTGAACTGAATCCACAAAAGTGAGATATCTCAGACTTTTACTGATGCTCTAGCCTTTGTTTTCCAGTGGCCAAAATACCAAAATGCCTATTGTATTTATAGATGTGAAAAAGTGCATATAAAGCCTTTATTATTACTCCCACTCTGAAAGATGGTAATATTCCATGTGGCCAAATATTTGGACTCATTCTGGGCTTAGACATTTCAATGTTCTTGGTTTTTAGTTTAACTCTTTTCATAGCCATGTTGAGAGTAAAAATAAATAATTTTTGTCTGTCTTCCTTTTCAAGTATTTCTGGATAAAGGATTCAAATCAAAACTAAAACTTTTTGTTTGTAATATAAAATATGGAATTGATCTTTCCAGGGTCAGAGATGATTAATGTTTTTGCTATATACTTTTATACATTATTTTCTTATCAAACTAGTTAACAAGTATTTTTATATGTTTGTAAGCAAATATGCTTTCACAGCATACCTTGTGTATATGTACAGATAAGTACTTAATTCTCACTGTTCACTTTTAACTGACAAAGAAAAAGAAAAGTGAAAACTGCAGAAACTGTGGTAGAAGTTTGCTTGCTGTTCTGGTCCTGGTTGTACCCACCTTTGGCCAGTCACATACCTACTCAAGACATCTTCCCCATAGAGTACAACAGGATGAGAATCTGAAGTCACTTAGATATCCCCAAGTAGTAAGTGTAAGACTTTTAATTGACAATTAGTATAACTGTGGATGGCTTCTGATTTTGTTTTTTAATTCTGTGGATTGTGTTTAAACAATTCAAAAGTACATTCCTGACTGTGAGATACTAAGTGGTATTGCACAGTTGTCACTTTATTGAATGTGCACAACAGTCCCATGAAGTTTATAAAGCGTGCCCTTGTATAGCTTCAGGTGCTAGAATTAAAACTGATCTGTTATCACAAGATGGTGCTTGATTACTTGTTATTTTGGTGGTTTCCTGAAAGAATGAATGTTGGAGGAAACGTAATATTTGTAGCTCTATGCCTTTCCCAGCAATGGCTTAGGGTTTGAATCTAAGAATGAATCTTGGTTATTTAGCAGGTGAATTTGAAATGAAATGGTTTGGTGTTGTTAGTGATTTCTCGAATCTTTGCCTAAGTCAGTGTTTCTTAAACTGTTTCTATGAAGTGCTTTTGATAGAGAACCCCAACTGTTAAAGGAGAGGGGAGGGTGAATACATGCACATACACTGTCTGAGGATCTGAGGATGCAACCTTGGACAGCTAAAGCATAACACACACATTTATCTGAATGCTAATTAAAATTACTATCTTTGTCCTGTGGCTTTCGATACTGTAGGACTATCACACGTCCTTGTTAGTACTTTCAATTGGTAATGTTTTTCATTTTCATGGGTAACTTAGGAGGCTGTCAACATAAATACCAGATTTAATGGGAAACCTTTCATTTTATTACAAATAGATGATTTGTAGTAAAGCAGGCTGAGGGTAAAATTTTGTTCTCTCAGTTTACAGGCATACCTTGGAGATATTGTGGTTTTGGTTCCAGACCCCCACAAAAAGTGAATGTCACAATAAAGTGAGTTAAGTGAATTTTTTGGTTTCGTAGTGCATGTAAAAGTAATGTTTTCACTACACTGTAGTTTAAGTGTGCAGTAGCATTATCTCTAAAAAGAAAAGTGTATACACCTTTATTAAAAAGACTTCATTGCTAAAAAATGCTATTATCTGAGCTTTCAGCAAGTTATCACTAGTCGAGATCATCATAATAATAATGAGAAGTTTGAAATATTGTGAGAATATTTCAGCAAAGTGATACAAAGACACGTGGAATGAGCAAATGCTGTTGGAAAAAAGGCACTGATACACTCTCGAGGCAGGGTTACTACAAACTTTCAATTTGTAAAAATTGCAGTATCTGTGAAGCACAATAGAACAAGGTATGCCTGTACCTTTTTTCTCTCTGCTTCACTTTGGATAATTTTTTTGTTTTTGCTGCATCGTCAAGTCACCTAACCTTTTCTTCGGCAATTGTTTAATTTGCTGTTAATTCCAACTAATGAATTTTTCATTTCAGACCTTATGTTTTCTTCTTCTGTAGAAGTTCTATTTGGTTCTTTGTTATATTTCTCTCCTTGTGTTCATGTATTTCTCTTTTCTAGCCCCTTTCATCTGAGTTCCCAGAGAATTTAGTCTAAATCCTTATCTGTGTGTGTAATGCATTAACTCCATTTCTATGCATCTAGAATATTCTAGCTGTGTACCATCCTTGGGAGAATAGAGAAAATGGTCCCTCAAATAACTTTCTCTAGTGCTTATTTTCTTATAGATCTATCATTGAGAAGGGCTGCTTTGAATAATGAACATGGTTATAATAGCTATTTTAACATCCTTGTCTACTTGATCATATCATCTCTATAATTTTGGATCTATTTTTGTTGACTGATTTTTCTCTAGTTATGGGTCAAATTTTCCAGCTTTTTTTGCATTTCAAGTTAGTTTTGACTGGATGCTAAACATTTCCTATTTTGTGTTGTTGGGCGCCTGGAATTTGTTGTCTTCATCTGAAGATGGTTGGACTGTGTTCTGGTACTCTGTTAATTCACTTGCAGTTCAGTTCCACTGCTATGGTGTGGTCTTTTGGGGCATTCTACTCAAGCTCAGCAGGACAAGTGAGACCTCTAATTCAGCTGGTAGGAACTCAGATAGCTCCCAGCCTCATGTGAGCTCTGGGGACTGTGCTAGTTGCAGCTCCTGGGTCATTCTTTGCCCTCCTTCTGGAGTTTCACTCTTCCATATGTTTCTCAGTGTCCTGCCTTTGCATACTCCTTGACCCTCTGCATACTTTTGGAGCTCTTTTTCTGTATAGCTATCTCCCCTCTAGACCTTTGTCTTGCAACTTCTATTGCCTCAAACTCCCTTATCTTCAGTGTGTGTTTTTTCAGTTTAGGGAAACACTTATCCCTTGCTTAGAATCCCCCATCCCCTGTGCATCCCCCTCTAGGCACATTCTTACCTTATTTAAGGTAAGGATTACCTCACCTGAAGTTTTACCTTACTTTTTTCTCTTTCATCAGGGATTATGTCCTGTGCTACCTGGTGTATAATGTTTGAGAACAGTTATTTCACATATTTACTTCAGTTTTCTGATTGTCTAAGGTAGGATGGTAAATCTGCTTTCTGCTCCTCCATAATTGGAAGCTGAAGTCTCTCCCATTAGATTTCCATCATACAATCAGAGGGGTCTTGTAGCCAGGCCACTTAATCTATGACTTGAAATCTTTCCTCACAAAGAATGGCCAGTCTCATGGCATGAATAATCCTCGTCTGTGTGGCTATTTTTTTTTTCTTTATAGTTGAGGGTTGGCAAACTGTTTCTGTAAAGGGCCAAATAATAAGTATCATCTTGGGCTCTGTGGGGGGGCTGTATGGTCTCTGTCCCAGCTACTTAGCTCTGCTGTTGTAGCACTGAAGCAGCCATAATAAACAATGTATAAATGAATGGATGTGGCTGTGTTCCAGTAAAACTTTATTTGTGGATACTGAAATTTGTATTTCATATCATCTTTATAGGTCATGAAATATTAATCATCTTCTGTATTTTTTTCCCAAAAATTCATTTAAAATTATAAAAACCATTCTGTACAAAAACAGATGGCAGAATGGATTTGATCTGTGCACCATCATTTGCCAATCCTGCTCTATAGTACATTTAGAATTTGAGGTTACATTCCCAACTTTAGAATCTCCTATATATGTGGAAATTCTTTCAAACAGGATTTCCCGAATTGACAATCATGAATTTCTTTTTCTCCCTCTATTGTTTATTTAGGGATTTACAATATTTCAGAGTTGGACATTATTCTTCATTGACATACATCCTACATTGATGATTGCCTGAACTCAGACTTTTACAATGTTAATTGGTTCCTTTATCATTTGATTTTTAAGATTTGATATAACAAGGTTGTATATACTTCAGGTATAGCCTGTTGCTCTTCTAACTTGTCATCACTATTTGTTTTAATTTACTTCTTTTCCCCTTCCTGTACATAATCCCACTGAAGAGAACTGAAAGATAAATAGGAGGAAATGATAATAAAATGTTCACTTTCAATATCACTTGACCACTTAGGGGTATTTAACCAGTGACTGCTTATAAAGTTGGAAAATACTTTTTAGAAAAAAATTATTTTAATTTGAACAGATTTATTTGTGTAAGACTATTAGGTGTTCTGGAGAAATGGAGAAATGTGAAGCTTTTTGTTTTTGCAGATTGCTCACTATCTGGTGGAGGAAGATTAAGGGTGACAAAAGCAAGTGCCGGGACTAGCATTCAGGCAGAATGTGACGAGCATGCAGAAAGTTGTGAGGGCCAGCCCTGACGGTGGTATGGATTCCTCCGGGGAACTCTGAGGGAGCTGCTTGTATAGATGTGGTGGTTTGGCCGGCGCTGATGGAGGAAAGGATTGGAGATGCAACGGGAGGAGAAGCGTGAGGTGGGCTGTGGAGCGGTGATGTGGGCTGAGGCGCAGTTGGCAGGGTGCAGGGTGCCTTCTGGCATTAGAACCTGAATCTAAAAGGGTTTTAAATATAGTGGGAAGAAAATAATGTTCAAGTAGCCTGGGTTTGGGTTGTGGAGGCTTTAAATAGGAGTCCTTCTGTATAAAATGGGAAGCTGTCAGGAACTGAGGACTGTCTGGATCCAAGCTAGTGGTAGGAGGCAGAGAAACGTGGTTTAAGCACGGGGGGTGAGGTAGGAGGCTACTGGAGGCATGGACTCTGTCCTCTTTCTGTTTGTTCTGTCACTTTTGCTCTGATCTCACACTGACTTTATTGCAGTGGCCTTTGAAGTAGTCTTTTTGTTTCTGTTTTGCCCCCATGGTGCAGTCCAAGGGATCTTTTTTAGACCTTAAATTAAATGTTGCACTGCTGCTTAAAATCTGCCGTCACTTCAGTGCATTTGGACTAACCCACCAAATACCGTAGCGCACAAGGAAAGCCTGTGGCAGGATCTGCCATCTTTCTCACTACATTCAAGCTGATTTGCTTTTTTAATGCTCTAGAACATGCCAGGCATTTTCCAAACCAATTACTTCACTCAGCTATTCAATGAACCCTTTCATCCTTATGCTCTCAGCTTAGATGCCATCTCCTTGGAGAGCCCACCTTGACCCTCTATTCTGATACCTCCTGGCCCTGTATTTACTTAGTGATACTTAACCATTTGTGATCATCTTTTCTGTCTCCTCTGGCCTGCTCCTTAGTGTTCTAGGCTCTGTGAAGGCAGAACCACATCTGTTGTGTTTACTGCTTTACCCATATTGCTGGGCCTGTGCAGAAAAGCCATTTGGTGAGTGAGTAAGGAGCACGAGCAACCTTTGTGTGATAGAAGTGCGTGCTGATTGTGGCAGTTACACGTGGGGTTAGTCCAAGAGGCATTTGGGAGTGGGTATTGGAGCTCAGAAGCAGCAGCTAGAGCTGAAAGTACAGACTTGGAATGTATCTATTTTGATTAATGATTGAAGAGGTGGGAGTGGGGTGAAGTAGAAAGTGTGCTTGAGACAAGGTCTAAGGGTAAAAATCATTTTGGGGAAATAAAACATTTGGGGATAGAAGATTAGAAGGCAGCAAAAAGCCAAGACAGCAGCCAGAAATTAGTACCAGGCAACTATTGTCTAAGAGGCTGGAGTGAGGCAGACAGCTTTGAGTGCTATGCAAGCATGGGGAAGAAAGGGCAGCAGCTGTCACGTACAGCTGACAACTTGAGGTTCTTTTTCAGTCATCAGGTTGCGGGAATCACATTATAGTGGGTTGTGGTGTGACTGGAGGGTAAGGAGGTGGAGGAAGCAAGTGTGGGCTACTGTTCTGAGAATTTGTGTGGCAAAACCAGCAGGCAGTTAATCTTGCTTGTAGGGTACTATATTAGAGACTGAGAAAGAGAGCCAATTCAGGTCACTTAATGATAGATATGTAGATATTCAAGCCTGCAAGTAGATGTTAAGCATTTGAGAGATTGAGAAGCCTATGGCTTGCAGGCTGGCATCCCTTTCTGACTGGTGAGTGAGGATGGCATAATGCAGTGCTTCTCAGACTATTGAGGTTGAAGGGTCCATTTAAAAATTGCTGAATCTCCACTGTTGTGGAATGATTCTTTTGCTAAAGGTAATAAAAAAAAACAACCATTAGAAAAATAATCATATTCTTGGATATTCTGGCAATGTCAAATGGCTATAAAAGTTTCTAAAAGCTTGGCTTACAATTTCTGTATCTCACTATAGGATCGTGGTGAACAGTCTGTGGGTGTTCTCAGGCTGCAGATCTCTCTCCGAATAGCACTAATGTAGAAAGCAAGCAGGAGATTCGGGTATTTTTTCTCAAGTGGCCCTTCTGATTCCTAGATAGGTCAGTAAATTCCAGGTCAAGATCACTTAGTAGGAGTTTCATGCCAACACTAGAAAAAAAAGAAAAACACTCTATTTTATAACTCCAGGTGTTGTAAGGAATCAGTAGTCTTGAATGAGGCATTTACCCTTTTCTCTTTTAATACTTAAAATAATCTGAAGCAAAGGAAAACTGTTTAAAATCAAAAGAGTTAAAATAATGAGAACTATTATCTTAAATGTGAGAACTACTACAACATGAGAACTTTAACCAATTCTAAAGTCAGGAAGAGGTTAAGAACATACAGAATTTAGAGCCATAGGAGAAAATGTTAATGCTATCTGATGTTATGACATTATGAATGTTAAGTGAGAAGTCTGCATTGCATTTTGCTTTGATGATAGCAGGTAAAAGTACTGCATGTATATTTGAGTCAGGAAATTTTCAGTTGTAAGTGGTAGAAATGCAACTCAAGCCAGCAGCAACAGAAAGTGGTCATTTACTCATTTATGAAGAAGAGTGAGGGTCTGGTGGGGTGAAACTGGCTTTCAGTGACTCCTATGTCAGGCTGCCATCGGGACTCATCGGCAAGGTGAGAGTTGGCTAAGTTGTGGAGGTGGAGTAGAGAAATTCTGTACTATAAGAAAGCTTGTGTCAAAGCCTGGGGCCAGAAAAGGTAAAGTAACTGGCCCGAACTCTCACAGCTACTCAAGAGTCCAGCAATGGTTTGAACCCAGGCTCTCTGTGCTTTGACCATTATACAACAGCTTGTGCCTCTTGCCCTCAGAATGTATAACACTTGAGCCAACAAGGTTTCTAAAGCAGTGATGCCAGTATTTAAATTTGACATTTTAGTACAGATCTTTTGCTCACAGATTTGAAAGAATTTAAATTGAAGAATTTTCTTCATGTTCATTAGCATTCTGCTGCTATTTATAGTTGTCACAGCATCTCATTTTCAAAAGTGAATAGTTTGTTTTCATTCATTCTTCTTACCTTGGGCAGTATAAAGAACAGAAAAGAATCATTCTGTTAAGATTAATAGCACCAAATAACGAAATAGGGGAATGTCTGTGTCCTCCTTGATTCTGCATTGTGATTATGGATTAAACATTTGTTTAGTCTGTTTGGACAATAGTGTCCATTTTTTTAGAATATAAATAACTGAGGAAAAAAGGGGCTGCCCATACAGCCCTAGTGCACTCGAACGTCAGCTTCTTTAAGCTGTTGCCTGGAAAATGTGGGCTGTCAGGTCATGAAAATAATTTGATGTGGAGAATTTTTGTGTTAAGTGACATTTGAGACACAAACTTGACCGTGGACTACGGTTCTGACTTGTAGTCATGTGAAAATGTATAATGTACCTTTCCTGTAAGAAGTACACAGACTGAGTATGCCTGAAACACGTTGAATACGCAAGTTCAAATTAAAAACAGCACAAAATCTTAAATTTTTTCATTTCTGGGTCTGATGAAGCCCAGGCTTTATTCTCATTTGCTGCAACAAATTTCCTTCAAATAATGCATTGGCAAGGTGACAGGTAAGTGACCCAATATCTATCTGGTTGGGGAATAAGTCTTTGGGCTTATCTGTCATCTTAAAATGTGGATATAAATTCAGTTACATCTGGTTTGCATTGATAAAAATGTATCAACAATTATAGCTGTTATTTATATGGCAATTTTTACTGGGTATCTTATGATGGGTTTACTGTCTTAAGTGGAAGTCCAAACATTTCATTTTTGTAGTAAAAAGTCTTTATTTCCAAAATGGTCAGCCAGAAAAATTATAAACCACCTAACACAAGACTTTGGTAAGAAAGAGATTTGATTTTTTTAAAATTCCCCTGCAAACAACAGAAATAACACTATGTAACAAACATGTTACCCATTCTCAGCCATTGATCAGTTACCTGGTTTTAAGTCTCCAAAATTAGGATTAGAATTTAAGTCTCCAAAATTAGGATTAGAAATATACTCAGTAGGGACCAAATAGGAACATGGTAGAGTTACTTAGGAATCACTGTTTCATGGAACTTTTCTTGGGTTGAAAGATACCTCTAGATAGCTAAAAGTAATGTTGAAAAAGTGGTCAGATTCTATATCAAGACTTTTTTGTCAAGTAGAAAATTAAACACGTTATGCTTCTTTGTCAGGGGAGAAAGCAATTCATTTAAGGTTTACAAAACTAATGTTGGAAATAGCTCAGTAATATATGACAGAATGGCTTCTCTAGATTGAGGGAGCAAAATACCTTCTGGCTGAATATGATTGAGGTGGTAACAATTGTAGTAAGACCCAACCTTCTGAAAACTTAGTTTAAAAATATGAAAGACATACCCAAATGAGTTCTTTATTGAACAGTCTCTCTTGTGTTAAAGAAAATACATATTCGGGGTTATAGCATATATATGTTGTGTTTGGAAATATCCTGGTGTGTTTAATGCAAATTCTTACAGTAATGTATTTGAAGCACTGTATGCATCTCATCCATGATACATATTTGGATTAAGCATAACAAAAGTCTTGCAACAGACATGAAATAATTTTAACAGTGAGTAAAAGGGTTGTTGAATCCCTGCTGAGGGATTCAACTCAGTAAAATGTCCTTTCTACACTAATCCTTGGTTGTCAGTCTCCCTGAATTTGGTGTGCTTATGAGTACTCAGAAGGGGATGGAAAACCACGGCCTCCCATTGGGTTGGAGGACCAGCATCCTGTTGTGGAGGGTTGACATAGCTTTGACTCTCCACCAGATTTTCTTGACCAGTGTGATTCTGTAATAATACTTTCCCCCTAGATTTCTGTCCTGGTCTCTGAAATACTTTTTCTTTCTACATGTGAAGCTTTATGACTAAAAAAGCCCTTTAAAGTACAGAGATAGTGCTTGTGTTTATTGAATGACTTGGTGGGCTGGGGGCATACTTAGCAAATGTTTGCATAACTAAACGTTTTCTTGTTAGAACTGGTTTGAAAATGTAGGATTTTTAAAACTCTAGTTTGGGACTGCTAGAGAGGCCAGTTTTATGGCCTAATTATGATGTAGTGTCATAGGTTTATAAGGCTGGCTTCCAAGGAGACTTGTGGCAAAGAGCAAGGGAAAAATGCTTTCTAGACCTAATACCTTCTACCTCAGGTAGAGAACTGGCAGCCTTACATTAATAAAGCAGCCGTCAGGGTACCAGGAGCCAATATTAAGGGGTGGGATAAATGTATTCAGAACTCAGTGAAAGGAGAGAGCCACCCAGCATCAGTGCTCCTCTTCACTTCCACTTGTTTTCCCCAAAAACTAATGGTGATAGAGGAGATTCCACAAGGGACCTAAAGTTCCACTAAAGGAAAGAGATGAGCAAACCAGAACGTCCTGCATGAGCAAGCAGGCCAAAGACGAGAATGACGGGGAACGTCTCCTCCCTGCTGCACCTGTCAAGGGACCAAGGCACGCATCATTTCCAGATGCAGTTGCCTCTCCCCACGGGGCGGCCAGGCTCTCTGTCCCGCCACCAGGTGGATGCTCCAGAGGGACACGCTACTCACTTCTGTTCTGGATGAGGGCCAGCTGAGGATGGGGGAGCCCCGCTCAGCCTGTGCCCATCAGCAAGTGGGCAGAAAGGATGTCCCTGAAATCCACAAGACTATTGGGTGAACCACACTGCAGAAATGAAAACTAGTGTACACGATTTAAATTGCCTCAAACAAGCAAGCCAAACCAACAATCCAGCCATTGGTGACTCTGGAATCCAGAGTGTAGCCCCAGACCCTTGTACCCTGCTAACAAGGGTGAACATTGCATGCTCTGATCTCCTTTTTGTCTTTGCAGCTGGTAAACTGGGAGCTTTTGAACCTCTTCTTTACAGTCATGTAGCGCTCCTGAATCCCACCTCCACACAGTTTGGTGCATTCTGACCAGGCTGTCCATGGGCGCATCCTACAGCCTGAAAGCATAAGACAGACCTGTTAGACCGGAGAAACTGAGGACAGAACAGGAATGCTGAATTCTAGTATATAGTGGTCAGATTTAGTTGTGCAGGCTTCTTTGTTCTTGTCGGTGAGGATTTGTTCGTAATGGTTAGTGTCCTCACTGGAGACCGTTAGCTCCTGTGTAACAGAATGCAGCTTTTTTTATTGAGAAGCACAGTCTGTTCTCCACATCATGAACCTGGGCTTGGCTGTATATATGACTAGCTTTGGCTAAGGGGGCATGAGCAAACATGGCTTGTAAAAAGCTGCTGCCACCACCATGTACTAAGCAAGCTAGCTAGACTGTGGGGAGACCGTGTAGAGAGGCCCCAGAAGTGCAGGTGAGGCCGACCAGACCTTCAGCCCTAGTTGAGCTGCCAGCTGTCAGTAGCCATATGGCTGAGCCTCTGTGAGACCTCAGAATCGTCATCTAGCTAAGCCACCCAAGTCACTGACTCAGAGAATCATGTTAGTAAATGATTATTTTGGGGTGGCTTGTTAATGCAGTGGCCACTCAAGCAATTAACCACTTTCTCTTAAGTGTTCAGGAGGCTAAGTACTTGGAGAGTAAAGCCTAAGTAAAGTAAAAGATAATTTATTACTTTTCCCATGAAGGTAGACGTGCCTTTCTTAGAGAAAGCTTAACCTTGACTGCCAGAGATTAGATCTTAAAAAAAAAAGCTTTCTTTGTGCTCTTTTATTCCTTTGTGGACTCGAATCACATTTATAATTATCCATGCAATACTATGCTAAGTTTGATGGAGAAAACCATGGCATAGTGCTTGCCTGGCACATAATTGGGCTAAATAAGCATTGACTGGCTGGCTGACTACTATGGGTAACAGACAGCATTCTGATTTGTAAACAGCTTCCCAAGGGAAAGATAGTGAATGGTCTGGTAGCTCCTGGGATCTGCATTTTTTTCTCCTAGGTAGAGCTGGAATGTCTTAAGGAAGAGAAATGAGTGATTTGAGCCATGCCTTTTAAAATAGAAACTCCATGTACCCATTAGCCTTCACTTATATGTGGCACGTTCCTCACCCACTCCAGAGAATGCAAAGACCTGCAATCGGCCTGTATCCCAGACTGAACTGTGAATCTTCTCAGCTGAGTGTTTCATCAGTTTGCCCATGACGGTGCAGTCTGGACTTGGACTAGCTGATTCAGCAGTAACACCCTAGGCAGGGAGTTTGTTCTAATTCCTGGAGCTCTTTCTAGTGCTGGAGGAGCAGGGACACAGTCTTTCTCTAGGACTACAAACAAAACAGCTGGCTCTTCTGCCTGTTTTTGCCACCTCCAAACTACTCAACAAAGGTCTGTGAAAGTTCTCCCTTGCGTAAAACCTTCACTTAATAAAAGAATAAAGTCTCCAATATTCAGCCAGGCACTAGGCCTTTTATGGTGGGGTCTCTGCCTCTTGCCTTGGACCCTGATTCATCCATATCCCGTTGACTGCTTGAACATACCATCCTCTTTGGTATCTCTGTACCTTTGCAATTACTACTGCTGATTGGGCTGTCCTGCTCTAATTTCCTCTGCTCTGACAGCTCCCTGGACTAACCACATTTGGGAGCGGTACCTGGGAACTGCTCGCCATCGGCTTCTTCCCTCAGCTGCTCACTCCTCCAGCTCTCTCGGGCCTCCCTCCAGCGTGACTTATGGATGGATGGATTTCGGAGGCATTTCCGGATGCGGCACTTTTTTCGTTGCACAGTCTCTGGGCAGGGTGCACCTCCAAACTGAGGCTCCATATGGATCATCCGGGTTCGAATCATGTGGCCTTTTCCACACGACTTGTTACATTCTGACCACTGGGACCACTCGGTGAGCTCACAGTCAGTGGCTGACAAGACACAGATGGGCATGAGTGTATCTCATATCTAACACAAACTCACTCACACTCTTTTGAGTGTCTCAACACAAGCCTGAGAAAAACACAAAGCAGGTGCTATTATCCATTACAGAAGAAGAAACTGAGGCTCCAAAAGACAGACCGACTTCATCCAGTCCGTCTGGTTGGTAAACAGGAGAGGCAGGATTGGTGCCCAGGTCATAACCCACATTCTCTGCCTGATCTATGATTCAGAGGGGCTTTGGGGGACTTTGAGATGTGTTCAGGGTCTCTTGCCCTGCCTTGTGAGCTGGAATCAAGTGGCACTGACCAGCCTCCCACAGTCCCAAGGACTCAGGTTTTCCCAAGGAAGGCATGGCTTGCTGGTGCCATTTCTCAGAGCTAATGTCTATGGGCCAACACCACTGCTTTCTCAGCAAGACTCAGTTTCCCCTGTTCACTACATCATCCTGGGTCCTGTGCATGGTCTGTGGAAAAAACACAGGAGCCAGAAATAGGAAAGTCAGTTAAGAGGGGTGAGAGCCAGTGGTGTCTTATGGTTTATCACGGTACAGGATCCAGCAAATTCATCTGACTAAGCCAGCATCTCACAAATGTAGAGGGGAAATAAGCCAATAGTTGGATTCTCAGGATGTGTCCCAGGGAGACAGATGATTCCAAACTCTCCACTGGCCTTGCAAAGTGAGGGCCAGACTGGATCTATGAAGTATGCATGTTCAATAGTTTCAGGCCTTTTCTCCCTGTGGAGCGCAGGCAGCTTTCTTATCTGCAAAATAGGAGTAATGGTCTTTTTCTTACCAGGTTGTGAGGATTAAATGAGATATAATACTCCCAGCCCAGTTCTTGGGCCCACTAAGTGCTCCATAAATGTTCATTTTCTTCTCCCTTCACTTAGTGGACCCTGAGGATATGAACAGTTTTGTTTAAGTCAGTAACAATTTCTTAGTTCTGGAGCACCAACTCTGGTGAGCTGGATTGAACTCTGGGTCAGTCTCAGTTATCACAAGCCCCAGGCTTTGTAATTTGGTGGTCTGGGTCATCTCCACCCATGGCTGAGTCTACCTGAAACAGCTCAGGAACTGTAACACCTAATATTGACTGGGGCCTGTGCTCACCAGGTTCAGCACTAGGCACTTTATGCCAGTTAGGTGGTTTAATGCTCAGAATAACAGGAAGTGTTTCCCACTATTTGACAGATAAGGCACAGGGATGCTAAGTAATCTGTTGAAGGTTATGCAGCCCAAAGGGACAGAGCTGGGACCTGGGCCACAGCAGGCAGCCTGAGTAACACCAAGGGAGAGGAAGCCAGAGATTATTAGCAGGTGTGCCTGCCTTTGATCATGTCAGAGAAGTTCTTCTGGAAGCCTAGCCAGAAAAATGGGCTCACTCTCCTTGAATGTAAGTCCCCATGTAATAAACACAGCTGATCACAGATTTTCGAGGGAATGGGGTGGGAATCGAGCTTTTGAGAGCTCAGCCTGTTGACTTGCTGGCTTGTCTTATCAAGGCTACCAAGGGTACAGGAGTCACTGGCTTAATGTCTACGCTTTGGTCTGGGTAAATGCTCACAGGGAAGAAGAATAGAATTAAAAACTTGGAACATATGTGGGTTAGATAAGCCTCTAATAACAGGTTGGGAGGGGGGTGGTGGTGGCAGAGAACTATGAAGTAAGGATTACTGAGCCTGTGCCCAATAATTATATGTTACTGTATTCAAAATAAATGCTTCCTTTAGACCTCATAGCAATTTGCAGTTTGGATGTTTGTAGACAGTAGTGGGATCCCATTAACTCATGAGGTTGAGCATTTAAGGAACTTTGCTAACAGAGATCCTGTGCTCATGTCTTTCCTCTCCCCAGAGAACAGTTGTACTATACAACTTAGCAGATTTGATCACTGAACAGGGCTGGTAAACAGGAGGGAAGCAGTTAGCTTTCTGGAGCTCTGGGACTTACGGCATTCAGGCAGCATGCACTTTTCTGCCTGCTCCAGCTCCTCATTACAGTCCCCGAGCTCAGCCAGAGACTTCAGCATCCGCTGGCGGGTCCGCATGCCCTTCCCGCAGGTCACACTGCAGTCACTCCACTCCGACCACGGAGACAGCAAGCATGGGATGGTGTCTAGGCAACAGTCAGGTTTGCCACTGAGAGCAGGCTCGCTTTGCGCCCCCTACCCTCTGTCACCCACTCTGGTCCCTGGAGTGAAGTGAACTTGACCAATGGATTCGATAACCCTGGACACTATGGAGGAAGAAGTGGCTCAGCAGATACTGCTTTTATCCCTTTCCTGCATCCAGCCTGGCCCAGATGTGGTCGTGACAACATCAGATGTGGCACAGTAATGTGGACATACTAGTCCTCACTTGAAATACTGCTGAGGGTCTGAGTAGGGTCTCACTAGAGCTAGAAACAGCCCACACTCCCCCCAACAACTGTGCTCTGAAAGACTCAGTGCTGATTTTTGGCATTTGGGTGCTGACATGCCTAGACTGTGCATACTTGTGTGCACATGGATATCAGTGTGTTGATGTGTGGGCCTGTGCATTTCTGCATACACCTGGGGTTGTAGTGCTTTATGGGGCCAGGCAGGTCCAGCGTAGAATAGGAGCAGGAGGCCTTTGATGTCCTGGGGAGGGCCTAAATGTACTAATGACATTACTCCCCATCCCATACTTGGGCTCCTTACAGAGGCCACCAGTTTGCCATCCCAGCCTTGCTCAGAATGGTCACTCTCTCTGGGTCTGGTTGGTGTCTACATACCTGTGGCCCTCATTTTGCTCCCAGCACCGCCTGTAAGGACACTGGGCCTGCTCTTCCCCCTGCACCTCCCGGCATCCGACCTAGATGGTAGTACTGGAGGATGCTGTGGCCCTCCGTATTACCCCCTCCTCTCCCCCACACCCACTCACGGCACTCGGGCATCATGCATTTCTCTGCTTGGGTCGTCTCGGCCTTGCACATGGAGCCGTCCGCCGGGCTCATCTTGACCATACGGTGCCGCTTCTTCATGCCCATCCCGCAGGTGGCGCTGCACTCGTCCCATTCGCCCCACTCCGTCGTCAGGCAGCTGTTGGGAGCTGGGTGGGGTGGGGGGGGTCCTGTGACGTTCAAATTGCGCCTGCGCCTCCGGAGCCCCCGTACGCCCGCCCTCCTGGCGCCCCCACTCACAACACTCCTCGTTGACCGTGCACTTCTCTGTCTCCTCGGTGGGCAGCGTGCACACGGAGCCGTCCTCGGGGAACTGCTTCACGTACCTCTCCCGAGACCGCATGCCAGTGCCGCAGGAGATGCTGCAGGGCGACCAGGTGATCCACTCGGACATGGTGCAGGTGGAGCCGTCTGCAACACACCGGGCGGACACTGCAGCCGGAACGCCGGCGGGCTGGGAATGCCCCCGGCCTTGACGGCGTGACCCAGCTCCGCGCGAGCACGGGAGCCGAGAAGGAACCAACGGACACTCAAGGGGAGTTAGGCAGTTGAGGGTCGAAGCAAACATAAAAGTAGAAACCTGTGAACCGGGAATTTTTCTGTAAGAGGAAATGCCATTTTCTTTTCCGGTGCCTGGGGCAGTCAGGATTATTCCTTATCTCATGACTTTTGAAAGGTGCTTGGATGATAGAAATGTGTGTGTGTGTGTGTGTGTTATCTCATGACTTTTGAAAGTTTGAAAGGTGCTTGGATGATAGAAAGGTGTGTGTGTGTGTGTGTTATGACTTTTGAAAGGTGCTTGGATGATAGAAAAGTGTGTGTGTGTGTGTGATAAATCATAGTACATCTGTAGGGTCTAAAATGTATCATACATCTAAGACCATTAAATAAAATTAAATCCTCCAGTAACTACATTTTAAGTGCACAATAGTCCCGTGTGGCTAGTAGCTACCATATTGGAGACTGCAAATACAGAACGTTCCTATTATCACAGAAAGTCTTACTGGACAGCACTGGAAAGAAATGATACGTGTTATGAGATAACGGTGTACGTTCTTTCGCTCAGAGGAACCTGAGATTTTCTCTAAAGCTGCCGGTTCCTAGTCTAGAGAAATTGATGAATTTTGTTGCTGAGGCTAGAGAGTGTGACATAGGGACCTGAGGACACAGGCTTTGTACCCAGAGAGCAGATTAAGTGGCCACAGACATCTCAGCGCCTCTCCTGAGGATGGTAACATAGAATATCCCAGCTGCTAACAGGGAGCACATAAATGTTGGGATGGGAACTGGGGTGGGGATGTCTGTGTTTCAGGAGAGGGGATATCAAGAAGGAATGAGGAAGGAATGAGGAAGGCAATGTAATCATCCTTCTGTGTTGACAGCTAAGGCTGTATACAGCTTTGCTCTCATCCGTAGATGTTAGCAAAGGCCATGATCATGTAGGAGATGCTCAGGAGGTGGGTGAAAAAAAATAACCAAACACTGCAGCATGGCTTGGTGGTACTATTTCCACAGTAGTGGTGGTGGTGGTGGGTGGTGGTAGCTGCTCCCAGGGGAAATGTACATGTGTGTGCGTGCATGCTTCCCTGCTTAGTGCAAAAAAAAAAAAGGTGTAAACAATGCATTGTGTTGGATGTGTGTCAGAGTGCTCATTTCCACCAGGCCTCCACTCTGATTCTCTGTAAGGCTATTTTGCCAGTAAATTACGCTGAGGAGTTTGGGGAAATGGGGAGCCACAGTTTTTCCTGCTGGGGAGGGACATGCCCTTTGTTTACAAAGTATTTCTCCAGTGGTGCCCTGGAAGATGGGCAGAAGTGGGGAGACATGACAAGGCCTGGCATAAAAGGCTGGCTCAGTTAATTAGGGAGAAACTCTAAGATGTGGTTGCCACTATATAATGAACATTCCTGTCATAGAATTCCTTCTGAGTGTCCAGAGGGGTCTCTTGCTTTCTTCCTGTTCTAACCACTCTCCAAATAACTAAGTGCAGAAGGGATCCTGATGTGGGTACAAGAGAACGCTGTGTGGTTTGGAGCGGGGTAGCTTCTGGAGAGCATGGGCTCAGGTAAAAATTGCGGGCACAATTGCAGAAATAGAAAAATCTACCCTAAAATTCACATGGAATCTCAAGGATCCCTGAATAATTCTTGAAAAAGAACAAAGTTGAAAGATTCACACTTCTGATTTTAAAACTTACCACAAAGAAAGCTACAGTAATCTGCATGGTACTAGCAGAAAAACAGACATACAGACTAATGGAATACAACAGAGAGCCTAGAAATAAACTTCCATATATGGTCAAATCATTGCAACAAGGGTGCCAAGACCAATCAATAAAGGACAGTCTTTTCAACAAATGGTGCTGGGAAATTTGAGTATCTGCATACAAAAGAATGAAGTTTGACTTTTACTTAACCCCATGTATAAAAGAACACAAAATGGATCAAAGACCTAAACATTAAAGTATAAAGCTTCTAGAAGAAAAAATACTGAATTTAGCAGTGATTTCTTGGATATGACTCCAAAGGCACAGACAGCCAAAGACAAATTGGATTTCTTGAAAATTGGGAAGGACTTCTATGACAATATGTGCATCAAAGGACATGGTCAATAGTGGACAGGTAACTTATGGAATGGGAGGAAATATTTGTAAATTATCTATTTGATAAGGGATTACTATTTAGAATACATAGAGATGGCAGGGTTCAGTCCTCTCAGAAGTGCCCTATCATGGCATAAGCAGTGGGCAGTGAACCACCGTGGGAATGCAGCCAGGAGAGGGACTGAAGACTGTCCCCGGGGAAGAGCCAGAGAGTGAATGACCTGCATCTGGTTAAGCATTCTTCAGCATGGAGTGGTTTTCTTCCTTCCATAGACCAGGCCAGACTATGTCCCTTTCTGTTGCCTCATTGTACCTCCGAGACAGATAAGATCAGACTATGGATCTGCCCAGGCAGAGAGAGGAGTTGTATCCTGGGAAGCAGGCAGCTGACCTCCACACAGCAATTGGCTTAGTGCCATTCTGAAGCTTGAGCCATCATGACAGGCATCGTTCAAGCCTAATACAGGAGCAGTTGTAGAAAGAGAGCCTGAGAATTCTTGCAGTCAGCGCAGAGGTTCGGACAGAAGGAAGTTAGTGCTCTGACTCTGAGGGACCTGAGGGTCCATGAATGCCAGAGAATTAGGGCAGTGGGTCCAGATTTAACCGGCTAACCTGTTCACTTGCTTCTTAAAAAGAGATGGGAGTTAAGGCCCAGAACACAGGTCCTTGTTATTTGTAATTTGTCATGAGATGTTTCCTAGTGCCTTAGAAACCGGTGTATGTTTTATTCCATGGCTGGGGAGGGAGCTGGGTGGTCAGTCAATCCCAGTTCTTCTAATGTCATAAGACAAATCTGTGTTCAGAGCCCTCAAGATGCAGTTGGAGACAGGGGGTCTGCCCTAGGTGGTCCTGCCCGAACTACAGTCAAGGTCCTGGTGCCCCACTAGATGCCACCTGACTGGGTGTGAGGGGCCGCCTTGCCGGCAGAACTGTTCCTCCCGGAGCTGCTGCCAGCTACTCGCTGGCGTGGGCTGTTTCCCTACCTTCATCGCTGCAGCCTGGGCCCGTGCAGGGCTGGAAGTCCTGCGTGTCAGGGCAGGGGACACTGAGGTCCAGCTGCGCCTTCAGCATGCGCTGCCGCATCCTCTTGCCTTTGTCGCAGGTGGAGGAGCTGCAGGCGGACCACGGGGACCAGTTGGAGTAGATGCAGGTTTCAGGGGTGTCATCTGGAAAGAGCATGTGACTTGTTTTCCCTGGGAGCCTGTGGACATTGTGTTGGGCCTTGTCCCCAGGTGAGCTCAGTAGGGACAAGAAAATCCCTACTGCCCGGCCTGCCTCAGTGAGCTGGGGTGCCGCTGGGGTGGAAGCAGCCATTCACAACCCTTCAAAAATGATATTTTATCATTCCACTAATAAATACCTGAAACAAGAGGAAAGATTCTCTTACTATCACATGAACACCTTTTCATTTCCAGTCCTTGTGGAGGTGGGGCACAGTAGGCATCATTTCCACACAGGTGCAGGAAAAATAGGCAGCCTGGGGAAGCGCAGGCCTTTGCATTGCTGCTTCATCTTCCCATGATCCCACACACAGGGGCCATTAGAAGAACAAGGGCAGCCAGTGCTCCCCGAGCACATACTTGTCAACATCATCCTAAGAACCTTCCATGTTTTATCCCGTTTCATCCTTAGGACAACTCTCAGTGAGACAGGTTCTGTTATTATCCACATTTAATAGGTGAGGAAACTGTGCTAGAAAGGTGAGCTGCTTGCCCAAGGTCCAGAATGAGAGTCCAGGTTGTCTGGCTCCAGATCCCATGAGAAAACGAGCTCAGACCGTTGCTCTGCCACTCCCTCCTGACTGTAGGGGCTGTCACTCTTGCTGGGGAAGTGGCAGTACCCACGCCTGCCTCACGGGACTGTGTGAGAATCATGGGCAGAGAGGGATCAGAGTACCGTGAAGCCAGTGCCAGTGCTATTAACACAACCATGTCAAAGGCCTGATGCTGTTGAATTTGTATTCCAATATCATACCTTCACCAATTCCTTCATACTTTGTGCCTAGTTTTCACCTTGTTTTGGATTCTCTCCTAGGCAGAAATCCTCAAAGATGGGGTTAACAAGCCAAATGATACAATATTGCTGTGGCTTTGAAAACATGTTAACAAATTGCTTTCCCAAAAGATAGTGCCTGTTTATGCTGCCACCTGCAAGAAAGGACAACCACCTACCTTCATCTTTCTCTTCTGGAGCCAGGTCTGCTACAATGTCATCCACATTGTCAGGTACAATGTTGCACTGTTCCCCCTGCAAAAGCAATTATTTTACTTGGAGGGCTCACCTTAAAGAATGGAATGTGTCCGGGAGAGGTGAGGCAGGAAGTAAAATCAGATGCTGTCCTGTATACAAATCCCAGGCCACAGTGGAGTTCTGGGCCAGCATTTACAATCTGACCAAAAAAGGCAAGAAAGCCACAGCTTCCCAGTTCTTGACCCGTGGCAGACATTAGTAATTGATGATGGAACTCACAGTGAAACGTGTTTGCCTGGGTCAAATCATTCACTTGAGTGTAGAACCCTACTATGTTTATTTTACTCATTTATATATTGTGAATAATTTGCATGTTAGAAACCTTGGGAGACCCAGGAATTCTATATCCTGAAATATGTTAGGGACCTTATTCTAGAGCAGAAAGGGGTACAGTCTCCTTGCACTCCTGGTGGGAAGGGTCTGTGCCAGAGTGAGCTCTACCCCAGTACCTTGCGGGCAATTCTCTCAATGACAACTCTGGCTACTTGAGTGATGGACCCGCCCTCTGGATCATAAAAAGGACTTTGAGGATGGTCCAGGCTGGTCAAGGGCCGGATTTTCTCCTGTGGAATTGTGGGCTTGTTGGGTGACTGTAGTGGGAAAAAACAGAGAGGGAGGGGGATATAAAACTGGTTAAAAACCATGAAAGCAATTTGATTGTAATACTATTAGAACAAAAATATTGATAGGGATTTAACAACAGGTATGACTACTTTTTATATTTATGCAGTTCTATTCATGCCTGTGTTGTGCATGGAGATTGGTAGATCTGTACTTTCCCATGTACATGGTAGGATTATGCCCCAATGAAGAAGCCAGGTTTTTAGGAGAGATCATCCCAGTTGGGAAATGGCAGAGCCACGTTGGCCTGAATCCAGAGTTCTTCCTACTAGACGAAGTATTGGCAAACTTGTCTGTAGAGGATCAAATGGTAAATGTTTTAGACTTTGTGGGCCATACTGTGTCTGCTGCAGCTATTCAATTTAGCTCTTAAAGTGAGAGAGCAGCCTCAGACAATACATAATTAGAACGCATGAGGCTGGATTTGAAAATTTGGTTTACGAATCAGGTGGCAGTCCGTATTTGGCCCACAAATCACTTTATGGATGTCTGTTCCAGATTATTCCACCACCGGTTTTCTGATGGCTCCAGATTTTGATGCTGACTTTATCTGGGAAGTACTGACATTCAGGAGAGAATCCAGGCTCCTTAGCCCAACTGTCTGGAAACCTTTGGAATTTTGCTCAGCCTAGTGCACATCAATTTCCTACTGTTTCCCATTCTAGATCTCTCTCTGTGCCTCCATGCCTGTTGTCTGCTGTTCCCTGGTTTACCTACAAACTGTTCTCTAGCAGGTTCCCTCTCCAGGCTTTCCTGGCAGCTGTATGGATACCTCCCAGAGCCTGAGTCCTACTGAGTGTGAGTGTGGGATGATGAGACTCAGCTGGCCTCACCTACCAGACTCTGAGCTCATTTGAGACACAGCCTGGGCCTGATTCACCACTGTCTGGGGCCCTCAGAATAGGGCCGGGTGAGGGAGGGTCTGTCACTTACCACTCCAGGCACACACCTACCTCATAGGTCACCCCGCTGTCGGTGCCGGCATCCCAGGGGATGAGGTCCTGCACCACCTTCTGGACCCAGCCGCATTCCTTGGTGCACAGGTCCTCCGCAGACAGGCCCACATTCCAGTCGGGGCTGGGGCCCATCATGGTCAGGAAGGACATTAAGTGGCGTGTCCTGTCCACTGAGAATTCAGCCGAGGGTGCTGCTCTCCTGGACACCAAGCACAGAGGCCATTATATCAGGGGCTCTGGGGCGCACCCACTGAAGGGCATTTGGCCAGACCATGGCTGGAGGATGAAAGGGGCAGAAGGAAGGTGGATTCTTGGTCTCCTGCTGATCTCTGCCTTGGGCCGTTGTTGGTTTACACCCTCCTCTCCTGAGCCCTCTGTTGGCCATACAGTTAGTGAACCTTATGCTACCACCCTATCCAGTTTTAATGTGGCCAAGCATGTCCAATTTATGCTTTCTTAATCATTTACTTAGCTGTTAATTAGTTAATAAACTGGAATGTAAGCTCTGGGAAAGCAGGGCTTTCATCTACTTTATTCATGACTTTATGTCCAGTGCCTTCAACGGTGCCTGGCACAGAGTAGATGCACAGTAAATAGGAATAAATGAACGAACAAATACTGTGTACATGCGCCCAGCTGTGTTCGATGTGAGATGAACTTTATAAACAAAAACTACCTACCAGTGCCCTAAGCCTTTTCTTTTGCATTCCCGTTGAATCCTCAGAACAGACCTGGGGTGAGGATGAGTGACTCTAATTTATGGATGAGGAAACTGAGGCTCAGAGGGTTATGTTATGTAACTCATCCAAAGTCACAAAGTTACATGGCAGAATGGAGGCCATGACAACGTCAGTATCAGTTCAAGGTCAGTATTCTTTTCATCATCAATTTCCAACTCCTCCTCCAGGCCCCTTTTCACTCTACTGAGATGGACCTTGTGCCATCAGAAGGGGCGTCTCCCCAGCCTGCTGCCTCCACTGCCCTCAAGAGGCCGCTCACAGCAAGGCTCACCCATGGGCTCACTGGTGGTTCCCTGGCTGTTTCCTCCAGTTGGTGAGCAGAGAGCCAGCTAGAGCAAGACTTTTGGCTGATGACCCCTAAGCTCCCAGAGGTAGTTCTTCAATCTTTATCTTCTCGTGTTGCTAAGAAGAGGTCTTAGGAGTGGCTAGGGCTGTATGAGATCAATAGTGGCAGCCCATCGAGGGGCTGGGGTGGAAAGTTATATTCTGAGCACACTCAGCACACTCTCGGTGGTAGATCTGTGTTATCCAGTGTTATTTTTATCCCCCATCCCCAAGACAACCCTGTGGGGTTAGAATTACTATTCTGTTTTGTAGACAGGAGGGCAAAACAAAGCATATAGAGGCCAATGAACTTGGAAATGCAGCCATTAGGGGCCAAGGTTTCAAGGCAGCTCTGCCAGACTCCACACCCCCAGGCTGCCAACCGCGGGGAATCCTTGGCTGGGGACCAGCTTGTCTGTTCAGTCCAGCTGGCAGCTGGGCCCCCTCAGCTGTGTGGGAGCCCCTGCATCCCTCTGTTGGGACCAACTGCTTCTGGCTGCTCTCACCTGCCCAGACCTGGTTGGACCCTGGGCAACTGGACACTTTGGACGCTAGTGGACTAGACAGGATCAGACAATGAGCAGAGAGGGAGGGAAGCCTGGAGGGCATTGTAGAACCAGTTCTTATAGCTATATATCTTTGGACAAATTACTAAACCTTTCTGTGCCTCTGTGTCCAAATCTGGAAAATGCGGGCCCCTTATATGTGGACTACAGAGGGTTATTGTATTTAATGAGAGAACTTGCATGCAGCACACAGCCTAGTGCCTGGCACCTTAGCTATTATTACTGTCATGAGAGACGAAGCGCTATAGGATCATAGGAGATCAGCAAATAGGGGAGGTAGAAGGAGTCCTTCCTGATTCGGTTTGACATTGTAGCCTGATGTCAGGCTAGGTTCTGGCTCATGGGTCTTGGAGGAGGCCAGCCTGAGCCCTGCCAGTGGTGTCAGCAGGGCCCGGTGCTGCCTCCCCGTCCAGCTTCGCCCCTGCCTGCTGCCCCAGGAGCCCTGGGCAGCTCAGCCTGCCTGCAGGTCCCACATACACTTGCATCAGCTGGGAAGCTCTTCTTCAGTGGTTTCCATGGTGTGGTCCCCTGGGAACTTGGTTGAAATGCAAATTGTGCCTCAGCCCAGATTTATTCTATCAGAGACCTGACAGTAGGATGCAACCTTCTGTTTTTAACAATCCCTCCAGGAAATCCTAATGCACCTCCAGTGTGAGAATCCTTGGTCTGCTCATCTTTCAGGCCTCAGGTCATGAATCACCTCATCCTGGGGCCTTTCAGATCCCCAGGCTGAGGCCAGTGCCCTTGGTCTGTATTTCCACCCTCTCTGATGGTCTCCGGAGCCGTACCCTATGCCTGCCACCTCTCCCTCCCTGTTTGGTTTCCCCCATGAGCCTGGGAGCTCCTGAGGGCAGGGGACCTAAGCCTCACAGCTGCGCGCTAGTCCCTAGTGTCCGGCAGGTGATGGAACAGTGGCTGCTCCACCACTTACGAGCTCTAGCTCTTGGCCAAGTAAGTCATCCTCTTCGGTCTCAGTTTTCATCTGACATTACCCACTGCAGTGTTGCTGTGAGGCTCAAGTAAGACGCTTTATAAGGAGGCCTTTTTGGAACTGCTAATGTCCCACACTTACAGTATGCTATTTAGTTAGGTACAAATCAGGGGATTTCATTTTCTTTTCCTGTGTGTGCATTTTCTGGCATGTAGGTGAGTGTGTTAGCAGTTTCTTGAAAGACCTGGTTTCTGTAAGAATTGCAGTCTGGGGCTCTGTGGCATCGCTCATCAAGGGGCTAACAGTTCTGAGGTCTGCCTTATAGTAAGTGCCTGGCAGAGAGCACTGGCATCTGGGTAGGGCTGCTTTACACCCCAGCCCCCCTTGGCTGTTAGCCCCTTGGGGGGCCAGCAGTGTGGCGGGTGGCAGGCTTCCTCTTCCACTGCCATGGAGACCGACTACTCCACCTAGTACCTTCCCCTCTCCCTGAGCATGTGGCTTTGGGTGAGGTTACTCATACATGTCCTGTACATCACCAGTGACACTATTCACCATGACAACCTAGGGGGACAAAAACATTTCTACTCAGGAATCCAGTACCGGAGAAACCAAATCAGCTCCACCCAACACACCCACCATCTTGGTACTCTGCCCAGCCATGCATGCAGCCATCTGAGAACCTTGTGTGTTTTACAAGGCCTTATGCAAATTGCTCCCTGCAGATGCATTTTGATCGAATCTGCAACCCAAGCAAGGTATCCTCCAGCCCTCAGTAAGTGTTTCAAGGGGGTAGGAAATTTGGGGCAGCCAGTCCCTGCACAAAACACCTGACCTGAAGTTGGGTAATATGACCAATTTGCATCTAAGGGGTTAGGAGCAATTTCTGCAATTTTCTAGCATCTTCAGTTATACTCTGTTCTTTTCTCTTACCTTTGACTGGAAAAATTTTCCCCAGACTTACCAGGTACTTCCTGAAGGAAGTGTTTCCTGATCTCTTCTCATATGGTTAGGCCCCTGGTGTACCCTCTCAGAGCAGGCTGAACTGACTTTGTTCTTGGAGTGTCTTTATTTCCTTCTTCCCCATTAGGTTCCAATAGAGTCGGGACCATTTTTATCTTGTTTACAGCTATATATCAGTGCCTGGCTAAGAACTTGGCATGCACTGAATCCTCAAATAAACTTATCTAGGAAATGCATATGGAGCTTTTGTATTTACTTTGACTTTCAGATTTTAACTTAAAAATCACGTTAAAGTATTTATTATGTTTATAATAAAATATAATTTATTACCTTTAAAATAAAATGCTATTTAAAGTAATGAAATAGACAAAAATATATTTGAGCTTTCTTTTGGAAATGCTTGATATGACTGGAGTTCTTTAAGTCATCCAAATTGTAATAAAAATTCTTATTCATGCTTATATGCCATGTCTCCTCATATAGGGCATTTTGTTAATGTAGTTTTATTTTTCTACCTGGGATTTAAATGACCAGTTTTCTAGCAAAGAGAATTGTTCTGGCCGTATCATATTACAATATATTGTAAAGCATGATAATTAAAGTGGTATCTTATTTAGGATAAGAATAAAATGGAAATTAATGGTACAGATTGGAGACCCCATAAAGTTTAGATAAGAATTCATACAAAACCAACTTCTCAAATTAGGGGAAGGAAGGATTGTGCAACAAATAAGGTTGGACTAACTTAATTGCAATTTAAAAAATATGTGATCACATCAAATATCAAGCACCAAAAAAAAAACCCCAAAGTTAAGTAGAAAGCAACCAAATCAGAAAAAAAGGCAATTTTTTCTTATCTGTTAGAGAAATGTTCATTTTCTCAGCTTTGAAACAATAAAAGCAATTACAAGGTAACTGAAAAATTATCTGTCAACTAAAACCATCTGTAGAATGAGAAGTCAGTGTTGAATTAGAAAAAAATGACATGTTGGCAAAAATGTCTCCATCTAATGTGACTGACAGATGTTAGTATCTATAGTATACATGGAGCTAATCCAAATCTGTAAGAAAAAGGCAGAACCCCAACAGATAAAGTTATGAACAGACTATTCACACCAGAAAAATGAAAATTGAATGGAGACATGGAGAAGTGTTTCACCTTTTTACATTCATTGAGACACAGAGGGAAAAACAAAGGGTGTTAGAAGAGAGCTGGACTTGAATCTTGGTCCAGCCACTTACTAGCTATGTGACAGGTGTATTTACCCCACGTTTGCAGTTACTACATCTACAGAATAGGAGTGTCATCAGACCCAGCTCAGGGCTGTTTGTAAGGAAACTGACTGGCACATAAGAGGACTTGGTAAATGTTTTCATTTCCTTCTCATTCAGCTCTTCTAAATGAAACTTCCAAAAACACCATGAAAGAAAAGAGGCAATCAAGGGTTTTTATGGTCCTTCCAGAGACCTATTATCCTCTCCTAAATCACAGACACACCAGTGAGGCTCAGGTCACTGGTGACAGTCAGGTCACTCCTATGCTGAGTTCTGTCCCTCCTCATTTGAAATAATCCTCAATACAGCTTTTGAAGTTGCAGAAACTGAATCTAGCCACAAGAGGGCGGCCAAGCCACGTTCTAGGCTGAAGTCCTGTGGGTGTGGAGGGTTTGAGAGAGGTGTCCGGCCCCGGAAAAGTGTGCTTATAACCTGGGGGCATCTAGGGCTCCGGGTCCATCGGGCCAATTAGATCTGCCGCCTGCTCCTCTAGTCGAAGGTCAGTCTTCCTTTACAATCCTGAGGATTTCAGAAGCAGGGAGTGCCCTGAAACTTGCTGTCCTGATTTGAGAGAAAAATGCCCCAGGCCTCATGGGGAACCTTCGGGTGCGTGATTATGGGGGAGCGGACCCATCAGAGGCAGGATTTCAGGAGGGGGTAGGCTTGTCTCTAATGCACCCTCATCTGTCTTGAAAACACAGTTGTCTAATGTAAACAGAGTGGCAAGGAATAATTAAGGGGACTATACTCCTTCACAGGATTCATGAATATAAATCATTTTTAAAAGTTCTAGTAATCCCTAGCATTCAGACTGAACTGGAAGAACTGGGTGGTGGAAGTTCAGAAGTGACTTGGGGGAAACCTGGGCATTTTCTGCTCAGGCATGAGGACTAGGGAGGTATGTGGGTGTCGTTCAGAACCCGGCTTCCCTGTCAGTACCTGCACTCCGGGCTGCAGGAGCCACAGCTTGAATTCTTGAGCCAGACAAGTCAGCCACTAATTTGTTCGTTCGTGGCTGTCCTTTGGAAGTGGTCGTGGGGATAAAGACGAAGATCATTGAAAAACAAGTCAGTTTCCCCGGGCAGGACCTAGCAAAGTAGGTCACCCGGGCTCTCCACTGGACGGGGGGAGGCTGGAATCCCATTAACCTCAATTGAGCCGACTCCGGCAGGAGGGGCAGGGTTGCTTCTGCGGCTGCGTGGGGGCTTCTTCCTAATCTGACTTTGCAATGAGATTTGGAAGAGGAGAGGGGAGTCTGGGGTGGGGGAAAATCAATGGGAAATTATTTTCCCTTAACAAGCTGGTAGCACCAGATGGAGAGGGTTTGGGTGTTTGGGGGTTCTGAGTGTTTGCCATCAATTAATTCTGTTCTGCTGGGTTCTTGGGAAGTCTGAAGGGTGGGTGACGGGTGGGAAGGTGCCCCAAATACTTATTTTTTTAAGTTTTCAGAAAGTCCGTCCCATTTTAAAAAAGAAGAAAAAATAAAAACTTTTACTGACTCATCCCGTTAGCGCTACCCTCTGCCCAGTGTCACCTCTTAGACCTTCACGTTAGACAGGTTGTACTCGCTGACGCCATGACCTCACTCTCTGCTCCCGTTCACCCTGCTCTGGGCCTTACACCCCCACCCAACCCTGGCTCAGCAGAAAGGACTGTCTGTAAGATCACGGATGATCCACACGTTGATCAGTCCACGGGGAACCTTGCAGCCCTCACGTGACTGCAGTGGACACAGGGGACTGCCCTCTCCTTGAACTCTTTCTTCCCTTGTCTTTTCTGATACCAAGCTTCCTTACCCAACCTCTTCGCTACTCCTTTTATGTTTTCCTTTGCAGGCAAATCCCCCTCAGCATTACGTGTTGGAGCTCCTTAACCCTTGACTTATCCTCAAGCTCTCTCTCATCCACTGCCTTGCTGTTGTCTTCCATTCCTTGCTGTGTCCCAATTTGATACCTCAGTGCAGAATTCACCTCCTGCATTTCAGAGCTCTATAGGTAACTATATACTGAGCACCTCCATCTGGATATCTTGAGGGCATCTCCAACGTGTCACATCCAGAACTGAATTCATGAACTTTCCCATTGAATTTCATCTAATACTCCCAATTTTAGGATTGGCCCCGCCAATGCATGAATTAGGCATCCTGATCTCTCTGCCTCCCTCACCCTCCTTATCCTACCTATCACCACAGCCTGACGGTTTTCGCTCCTACACATCTCTCAGATTTCTGCACCTCTCTCCACCTCTGCCGCCATCATCCTTGTCTAAGAGTCATTCTCTGCTGGACCTCTGCAGGAGCCTCCTCACTGGTCTCGCCTCTCTTATCCTTTTTGGATATTGCAGACAGCTGGCTGCTACTGATCTGTATGTTTTTAAAATGTGATCTGATCCTGACATCATCCTGCTTAGAACCCTTCGATGATTTCCTATTACTCTTAATGTAAAAATTAAAATCCCCAATGTAGCATTGCTCGGCCCCACACCAAGCTCACCTTTGATTTCTGGAACTAGTTATACCATAACCTTTTAGTACCTTAAGTATGTGGTACTTATATACTTAAGTATATTATATACTTTTCTCTCCTCAGGGTCTTTGCACAGATGGTCTCTCTAGACTTTCTAGAATGTTCTTCCCTTGTTTTGCTCATTATTTGGTTAACACCATTGAGTCCTTAACTCTTAGCTCAATTGCTATTTCCTCAGGGAAGCTTTCTTTGATCCCCGGGTGCAGTCAGGGTCTCCAGTCCACAGTCTCATGGCACCTGTGTCTTTACTCATAGGCGTGTCATGTTTGTCATAATTTGGTTAATGTCTCTCCCTCACTGAACCGTACCCTTCATGAGAAACTCTGCTATGCTCACCATTGTATCCCTAAGCACCTTTCACAATAATTCCTTTTGGAGACCACTGACAAATGTTTGTTGGGGCAATGAAATAGTTTGGTCAACCTTGATAGAAGGGGGGTAAGTGAAAGTCAAGATTTTGTCTTATTTTGTTTTGGGGCAGGAATTAGGCAATTTGGTATGGTCACATTGTTAATTTTATGCTGGTCAGAAGTCCAGTCCGCAGATGTGTAAGTCTTGACTGATTAAAGAATGGATAACAAATGAATTGTTACTTAATTGTAGGGACCTTGTTATAGTGAAGTGTATAGGCAGTGGAGTTGGCTGGACATGGCTGGAATTTTAGTTCCTCTGTGGTGGGGCTGGAGGCTGCGGTTGGACCTGTCACATAACCTCTGAGCCTTAGTCTCGTCATCTGTATAGTGGGGATCATAATCCCCACCTCATGGGGCTTGTATGAGGATTAAGTGGGACAAGGAGTGTAAGCGCCTAGCCAGGTAACTAGTATATAGTGGGTGACCAAGGTAAAAGGATTTCCCTCCACCCTCTTTCTTTCCTCTCTCCTTCCTGAACCCCCTTGGTTTGTACTTCACATCTTTTTGAACCCAGGCTCCTCAAGGGAAAACCTAGACAGGGATTCCTTAGGGTGTAAAAATTGGCATCCACACACTCTGTGGCCCAGATGCCCTCAACCCCTACCTAGTCTTGAGCCCCTGCCTGTTTTGAAGTCCAAAGGTGAGGAATTCTTCACTTATAGGTCCTGGGAGCTGTGAGAGGCTGCCCAGAGAGCCCGAGCAAGCTTCATTACTGGACGCAGACTCCTCCAGAGAGGGGCCAGCCATGCCGTTCTTCATAACCAGTGGCAGGTCCTTGCCTAGGAACTTCGTCTGCTCCAGGTCTTTCACTTCTTGAGTGAAACCAAGGCCTGTTCAAGGACCTACACAGGACTCCGGGTGGCTGGAGGGAGGTGCAGAGTAGGGCGCGGCAAGACCTGGGACCCGAGGAAGAGGCAGGGGCTGAGGTGCGCGATGCTCACTGTGGCCTTGCCAGGTGCCCTGTGGGCCCATTTGGCTCTGGAAGCTACAAGGCTCACGGGGTGATTCTAAGGAGAGAGGACACCATCAGATTTGGATTCTTAGATGGACACTCTGGTAGCAGTGTGGATGAGGGATCTGAGGGGGGAGACCCCAGAAGAGGGAAGAGCTGAAGTGTTCCAGGTGAGAAAAATGGTGGCTTGAGCTAACAGTGGGAGGATGGCCAGGCAGGGACTGATATTAAGAAGATAAAATCCACGGGACTTAGTGATGGGTTCCACTTTCGATTTGAGTTCAAGGCCCATGTGGACCATCCAGAGAGAGGTGTCCAAGGAACCGGTGCATGGATCTTTCTGTCTATCAACCTACCAGGGGAGTGGCAGTTTTGGAAGCTATAAGAATACCTGTGGTCACCAAAACGCAGGGGAGGATGAAACCTCCAAGGGACAGGGTGGACAGAAAAGAGATGGGGACTGAGAATGGAACCTGGGGTAAATCTAGCCTCCCGTGAGTGAGCCTTGCTGAGAGTGAGCATACTTGTGTGCTCTGAGGGTGGAGGTATGTCCAGCGTGTTGTGGCGGAGAGCAGGAGTGAGTGAACACGGGACGGCTGACTAGTGTGTTGGAGATGGGTCCTCTGCAGTGTTACAGCCGTTAGGGGAAACAGAGACTAACCTGCCTTCCAGGAAAGCTAGGAGCACAGGTGGGGGTGTACTGTCCCCCACACGGGAGTGTCTCTCACCTGCACGTCCACCTGAGAGGCACTGCTGATGTTAACAACATAACTGGCATGCGGCAGCCAGTAGGTTGTGTGGCTCCATGTGTAAGGCTGGGACGGGGCTGGGCAGGGCCAGGGTCCATTTGCTACTTACACGTTGAGAGGCTGCCATGCTGGCCACTGAGCTTTGGCTTTGATGACAGTGAGAACCTCATCACTCTGCAAAAAAGGACCACAGATACTTAGTGAGGAGACTAAGTTCATGGCAACGAGAGGGCTTTGGCACGGTGACACCATGCACCCTCACTCCCCTCCCTGCTGCTGAGGACCCCACCTGCTCAGGTGGGGGGCCAGCCTTCCCCAGGATGGAGGAGCCCAGGAGCTGTGGCAATCCCAGGAGGCGGGCCAAGTCCAGTGTGTCTGGTGCCCATGAGCCCCCCTCTCGGCTCCCATCTCTTCCCCACTGGAGCCTGAGCTCTGCCTGGGCCTCTGCCTGGATGGTCAGACTCCCATACGGCATCCAGCCTGGAGGGCCAGTCGCGGGCTCTGTGTCTCAGCTCCAGCTGCAGCTCCAAGCACCCACCCCGAGGACTGTCACTCCACGGCCTCTCCTGCCACTGAGACCCACACACCAGGTCACTCGTCCAAACGAGGAGCCCAGAATGCAGCCTCGGGCCCAAACCCTTTGTGCCACTCATGTCATTCTGCTCCATTTTGCTTTGAACAGTGCATAGAGCCACCCTTAAAGCATGGGGACCTGAAATAATTATTTGAGGAAGAATCTGATTATTAAAATTTTGAAGGAAAGAATTAAGTTGTCATTGTAGGGCAAAAATCAGAACTTTGGTGGCCCTGTTTAACTTTACTTTGAGGTCTGTTTAGGTTTTTATTTTCAATTATACATTGGGGTTGAATGGTATCATAATCTTTTCAAGGCTTCCAACATCTAAATTTGAGTTTGGCTGGGGACTTCCCCCAGAGTGGATTCAGCTGGTCCTGAATCCCCCCTTGCCCTGGCCTGGTCCCAGCAGTGCCCAGACACCACTGTCCATTCTGCCCCGAAAAGCCCAGAACGTCACCCATGCTCCCTGTCGGACAGGTCTCTGAATTCCAGGAGGGCAGAGGCTTGCCTGGCTGGTTCCCACCTCTGCCCCAGTCCTCCGAGCCATGCCTAGGTGCCAAGAACCTGTCTGGGATGAATCGGCCAGCTTCACCTTAATTCGCAGGTATGCTGCCCAGAAAAATCCCACAAACTGGGAGGTCAGAGGTGTCTCCAGGCTCAGGCCCAAAGGCTATAAAAGGCCTTCTGGTCAGGAGCACCTCACACACAGCCCAGGCGAGAGGCTGTTGGGTGATGGGCCTCTGAGAGGTTGGGAGCCCAGCCAGGTCCTCCTTGGCCTGGCACAGACAGATGGTCTTGGGCAGAGTGAAGGGCGGAAGTGAGCCCACAGGGACAAGCCAGCAGAGGCGACCCCCAGGGGAGCGGGCAACCTCTGTCTGAGCTCAGGCTTTACTGGGGTTCCCTCTTTTGGTCAGAGGCAAGAATTTTTGGATACACAGATGCCCCCACATTCACACGTCTATAGGGGAGAGCCTTCGTAAGTCCCAACTGAGCATTGTACATTTCTTCTGGGAGATTTGCTTATGTGTTGACAACGTATCCCTCATTCATTCCTAGTAAATACCTGGTGACTGAGAGAAGCCACCAAGCATGAAGTCACATGTGATACAACCCATCCCCTGAATGCCAGTGCTGCGCCTCCTGTGACCTGGGGTTCCCGCCGTCATCTCAGGCATCCCATGTCCCACACTGGGCTCTTCATCTGACCCACAAGCCCGCTCCTCCTCCAGCGGGCTCAGGGGCCTGCCTTCCTCCACCCCCACTCACAGCAGTGGGGCTCCAAGGACCGCTGAGTCCTGCCACAGTCCCCACCAGTCACCCGTCTCCAGCATCTTCTCGCTTTCCCCCAGCCCACCCTCCACACTGTTGCAAGTCTGAACACAGTGGTTCCCTGCCTAAACCCTTCCACAGCTCCCTGCAACTGCCATGGGGTTTCTTAATTCCTGAGTTTTGCTTACATGGCCCTTGGTATACTTTTTCCTTTGATTTTACACATGCAGAATAATATATAAGCAGAATAATACATGCTCACTGTAGACAAATTTAGCATTGCAGCAGCACACCAAGTAGATGTTGAGCACATTCCACTTTAGCATCTACCCTGCCTTCTGCCTCCTTTTGCCTTCTCCAGAATGTTAGTTTGGTGTGTATAATTCCAAGCCTTTTACTGTGTATGCTTATGTAACTGTGTGTGTGTGTGTGTGTGTGTGTGTGTACATTAGATACAGCTTTTCCTACCGAAATTACATCATGCTGAATATCTTATTTTGTACCATACTTTAACATTTTTCTTTAATATCATGGGAAACTTGCCACGTCAGTAGAGACAGCATCACAGCTTTCCTTTTGTTGATTTTTAAAGTGTTGGGGATCTCCAAGTCATGGTAAGCCAAGTCAAGACACAAAAGCAGTCTAAGATATGAGATTTAAGTAACCGCCTGATGATAATTTGCCTTGAAGTAACACATTACTGAAAAATAAAATTACTGAAAAATAAAATGGGTGTGGGTGGAGTTAAGGAGGCCACCAAATTAGCTGGCCCTGAAGATTCACCTTGAATCACAATTAAATATTGGCCTTAAAGTCCCAACTCATGACATACTGAGTTTGCTTTTGTGGTATATAACTCAACAAAATTTGTTTGGGCTCTCCAATAGTGGGGGGTTATCTGATGATAAAATTCCAGCTATTTTCTAGAGCTATGCAGGCTCTGAGGATGGTGGATCCATGTGGGCAGGCAGGCATTAAGGGCAGGCATTAAAATAACTTCTTGCTGTGAAGTGTTTTGTGTAGTGGTTACACACCATTTGTGTGATTAACAGCTTATTGTTCCTTGTTTGTGATCATTTGTGTTATTCATTGAAATAAGAAAGCAGGAGCATAGTGGCAAGTTCATTTAAAAAGCTAAATATTTTTGGTGAAGCATCAAAATTCTCTGGTAGAACCTAAGTTCCATAGGATTGGAGAATGTCTGGCTTGCTCATGGCCACATCCAAGTGCTATGGATGCTCGGTAAACTGCAGTACACTGTTGAAAAAGCCGTCTCTGATGTATGTGTAGAATCCCATAGTGTGGGCATTCCAATTTATTTAACCAGCATTATTGGTAGGCATTTAGTTGGTTCCATAAATAATGCTACGATGAACACTTGTGTATCTATTTCTTTGCTTACAAACCCAAGGGTTCCTGTACCACAGATCCCCAGATGAAAAGAAGAAGCAAAATTGAAAATTTTGGTAGGGCCTGCCAAATTGTCCTCCAAATGTCTGTGTCAGTTTATACCCCAGCAAGAATGTGTATGAGCCCACATCTTCACAACTTTGGACACACTGTTTACTATCAATCTTTTTAGTATTTACTAATCTGGCAGGCAGGCAGGTAGCTTGGTTGAGATCACAAGTTTTAGAGTCACACCGAGTTCACATCCTGACTGTACCCTTTGCCAGCCTAGCTCTGTGCCTTTTGGCACGTCTCTTGACTTCTCTTAGCTTTCTCACCTGTGAAATGGGATTAAAAAGAGTATCTACCACATATAGTTGTTAGCGGGTCTAAATGACACAATTCCTATAATGTGCCTGAAACTAGCATAAATACACTTATTCATATTTACATTCAGGCCAAGCTGGAATTAGAATCAATTTGCACTGTTGAATACAAAGAATGGAACACGCAGTTGCATATACACACCCACAAAGCCTCAGGAAAATGTCCCCTTATTTAAAGCCAAGCTCTGAGTGTTCGGGAGCACAGCTGGGACGCTTCTGTTTCGATCAGCCTTGGGTGGGGCCTCTGGAGCGCTGGGCATTTTACATTCTGAAGAATGAAGGACTTAAGGCAGAGGAAGCAATCCAAAGTTCGACTTAAATGAAATGCTGTTTTAACAAGTCTCTAAGGCATGGAAAAGATCTTTCAAGAATCCTTAGAGCCCTTGTATATTTCTCGTGGGACCCTTTTCAAACAAAATATTTCCGGGCATTCACAGTTCATGCCTCATTTGGATGATGACATTACCACTTTTCCAGAGATATGCCAATCAAAACACCCCAAAGAAACTACAGATCGCTGTGTCCACCTTCATGCGGATGGGGTCTTTCTTTTTGCTCTCAGCAAGTATATCATGCAGATGTGACAGCAGCACTCAGACATCATAGCTATGGGTTCCAAATGGGACTCGCACAACAGGCCACAGGCTGAGGTCACATCAGGAGGAAGAAGGGTTCATGTGGAGTGGAAACGGGCTTGGACGGGTTACAGGCAGAAATCACATTGTTCTCAGGAGATGCCAAGTCTGAGCAGGGCCAAGAGTAAGAATGTGAGTCTGAGGGGTTGGGATGGGGGTTGGTGTCTGGACCAACCTGAACTCCCACTGACGCTCCCATGCGTTCTGGAGCCAGCACCCAGTAGGAGGGCTCTGGGCAGCTCCTGCAAGCCCAAAGCAAAAGGCCGAGATCCGTCACCTCCTCCCTGCCTTGCTTCTCGCCTCTCTGTTCCTGCACCCTCCTGGCTCCTGACCTTTGACTTCATCTCCCAGGCCTGAACCACAACCCAGTTTCCTCGTTGTAAGGCCTGCTTTGCTCCAGGTGGCGCTGAGGCTAAGCTGCCCTGGGCCAGCATGGTCTGCCTCGCAGGCCTGCGGGCTTGGAGTCAGCTCACACAACTTGCCTCCCCCAGCCCCGGAAGATAATGGGATGCTAGCCACAATCAGAGAGGAAAAGTGATCGAAACAAGAAACAACAGCGACCTATTGTTTTTATGTGTGAGGCACCTTACTAATTACCTTATATACAGCATCTTATTTAATCCTTACAATACATTTGCAAGGTAAGTATATACTCTTTAATCCTCAGAAACACAATTATTTGGCCATATTACACAGTCAATGGCAGAACTAGAGCTCAAAACTCAGCCTGACTCTGGAGACGGCGTGCCTCACCCAGTGAACGCAGGCAGAGGGCGGCTGGGAGGATAAGCTGGGGGGCAGGAGAGCCGGGCACTCCTGAAAGGCTGGGCTCCACCCCTCGCCTGTGCCTCTGTGGCCCTAAGGGCCTGTCCTACCCTCCGAGTCCTGGCTGTCACAGCCATCCACGGAGGACTAGCA